TCCAGCACGTTCATCTTTCCCCAAGAGCCACCAACAACCATGAGGCTTCAGCACCACAAGGCCCGTGGAACAGGTCCTGGCCAGGTCTGCCCCAAGCTCAGCCAAGCCATTGCTCTGAAACCCAGAGAAAACGCCTTCTCCCTACATCCCAGGCTCTTGGCCTGTGAAATGAACATGTTTTCAAAGTATGGTTCAAGGAACCCAAGGATTTCCATGGAAACTGCATACCACACTCAGGATGGTGTTACTGCTAAACAGGGTGAGAGGACATGGCTCTGTGGGCTAGCAGTGACAATAGAAGGATATACTTCTGGAAACAAAAGGAAAAAGCAAAGAAGATTCAGTAATAGTTACAAATTCTGCATGAGGGAAATGTGGACACTAATTATAATATGGTTTGCACTTTTCTTACATCTCCCAGTGAAAGCAGGAACAGGTCTCGACCTAGCAAGGAGTAGGGCAATAACCTCCCACCCTAACACATGCATGTGTACATACTGATACTTAAAAGTTCTTTATTTTATTTTAAGATGTATTTATTTATTTTAGAGGAGAGAGGGAGACAAACTCTCAAGCAGACTCTGCGCTGAGTGTGGAGCCCAGCTCAGGGCTCGGTCTCACAACCCTGAGATCACGACCTGAGCCAAAACCGAGAGTTGGATGCTTAACTGACTGCACCACCCAGGTGCCCCTAAAAGTTCTTTTTATTTTATATAGATTATATCATATTTGAAGTATCATTCAACTTTTCCTCCTAAGAAAATTTCTTAGATCTTGTTTGTGCACATTTGTGTTTGTGTTTCTTTTTAATAGTCTCAGAGTAGTCCATGACAGATATTTATCATGACAGCTTTAACCATTCCAAAATTGACATTCAGTTTGTTCTCAGTTCTTTTTTACTATTCCAACAATGCTACAGTGAACATCTTTCAAAATCCAGAGCAAAGGAACAGGAGAGTTTTGACCAAACATATATGTCCTCAGCCCCAGGCATGGGCTTCCATGTAATCATTAGTGGCTATTAGCTAAAGACCAGTGTTCTTAGGGCTCATGCTCTTGTAGAGATTCAAATATCAGTTGCTGAATAATTCTGAGTCATTTATCTCACACAGTTTTCATCTGTCTCAAGGCATTGAAGAGAAAAACTAGAACTCAAGACATGCCAAGAAGAAACAGCCCAAGCAAACACTCCAGGTTCTCAATTCAGAACTCTGGAGGGTGAGAGGGGCACCTGGGTGACTCAGTCGGTTAAGCATCTGCTGTCAGCTCAGGTCATGAGCCCAGGGTCCTGTGATCAAGCCCCACATCGGGCTCCCTGTTCAGCGGGGAGCCTGCTTCTCCCTCTCCCTCAGCCTGCCGCTCCCGTGCTTGTGCCCTGTCTCAAATAAATAAGTAAAATCTTAAAAAAAAAAAAAAAAAAAGAACCCTGGAGTGCAAAACCATAGAGTGTTGTCAAAGCAGAGGTGGTCACTAGCCTGGTTAACAAGAAGTCAACCGTGCTTCTGTGAGCTCTGCCCCATGTTGGATTAACTCACCTGCCTAAATTCTGTTTACCAAAGCGAACAGTGAACCTGCTCTGCCAAAGAATAATGTCATCCAGAGCTGTTCATACCACAACTGTTCATATCAATGCTTGATATCCCAGTGAAATTTGTATCGGATATATCAAGAAATTGAACCAAAAGAAAAAAAAATAATAGAAGCAGACCCACAGATGACCCAGACACTGGAGTTGTCAAAAGTCGTCTTTAAAAATTGTGATTAAGGTGTTCAAGAAAATAGGTAACGAGGTGGAAAATTTCACTGGAGAGCTGGAAATTTTTTTAAAGGATCCAATGGAAATGATACAACTGGAAAGTATGGTTTAATTGGAAATTTGAATAGGTAGATTAACAGCTAATTGGACAGAGCAGAAGAGAAGACTAATGGACTGGAAGCTGCTTCAGAATGAAGTATTCAGACCACAGCACAAAAAGAAAAAAAATACAGAAATAAAGATTAACGGGCAAATCAACATAATGAAAAGGTCTACATGTATTTGGAGATCCAGAAAGGGGAAAGTGAGAGAATGGGACAGACGAATATTTGAAGAGGGGAAGGACCAAAAGTTTCCAAAAATTGATGAGACATGAAGTGAGACTGAAGAAGGAATACACATACAATGTAGAAAATACAGAGAAAACCACACCCAGGCTCATCTGCAGTAAACCAAAGACAAAGTCCTTAAAGCAGTCAAGAAAAAGGCACATTACTTTCAAAGAAGCCAACAGGTAAGGCCTCAGGGAATATTATTTCCACGAGCCCTTCCATCCCCAAAGTCATGCTGGAGAACATGTGAGCTGACGGGAGAACCCCAGTGGCAGGACCAGATGGGCATTGAATGTGTCTAACTGGAAAACTGAGATTAAAACAATAGTTAAATGCGATGTGCTCTCACCACGGGACAATAACAGAACCAACAAAAATGTAAAGACTGGGGGAAAAAAATGGAAATTAGAATGAGCTCCCTAATTTCTTCGTCTGTAATAGCTGGGAATAAAAAGATATTTAACGTTGACAATTCAAATTACAGAAATGTAAGCACATCTAAAAGAACAAAGAGGGCGCCTGGGTGGCTCAGTTGGTTAAGCGACTGCCTTCGGCTCAGGCCATGATCCTGGAGTCCCGGGATCGAGTCCCGCATCGGGCTCCCTGCTCGGCGGGGAGTCTGCTTCTCCCTCTGACCTTCCCCCTTCTCATGCGCTCTCTCTCTCTCTCTCTAATAAATAAATAAATAAATAATTCTTTAAAAAAAAATAAATAAAAGAACAAAGAAACCATCAGAGAGCTAATACTAATGACTAAAATCAGGTGGTGGTAGAGAAAGAACCAGGAGTAGGAATCAGAGATAAAGAAAAAATTACAAACAAAATAAAAATCAGATGAACAAATCAAATTAATGTATTTATCTCAACTCTCTGCTCCCAAGGTCAAAGAAGAGACCCAATATCTAATAGAAAAATAGATAAAAGATATAAACTGACCTTTTTCCTTCACAAAAAGGAAATACAACCAGATCTTAAGATATTTAACCTCATTCACTAAGAGAAATGAAAAATAAAAATACTCCCAAGAGTTGCAAAGACACATGCACTTGTCAGACCTCGAGAATGACACACTTGAGTTTCATGCATCTCACTGTAGGTGAGTTTTACTTTTCAAAAAGCTATAAGCACGTACTGAATTCTAATTAATGATGTGCAGGCTGAGGTGCTTCGAGTGAAATGTGCTAATACCCACCTCTTTCTTTTAACTGCATCCAACAGAGAAGGACGGATAGATGAATAAAGTGAAATAAAATAAGCATAGCAAAATGTTAATTGTAGAGTCTGAGTGGTAAATATAAGTATGTTTACTCTGCAATTTTTTCAAATTAAGGAAAAAATCTCTCTGGATAACCTTTTCCCCCAAATTGGCAAAAATGGAAAAACTCGGTTAACAGTTTTCAAGGTTGTGGGACAACAGTAGAAGCTTACGTAGGCACAGACTTCTAGAGAGAATAATTCCAATTGGAATTAAAATGGATATATCCTTAGGGATGGCAGTTGCACCTGTCAGAACATAATCTACAGATGTACTCAGACACATGCAGAACGACACATATTCCATCTTTGCATGATAAACGAAAGATGAGAAATCATCTAAATGTCTAATCAACAAAAGAATGGTAAAACATACTATGATATACCCATGCAATAAAACATAATATGGCTATGAAGAAGAATAAGGCAACTTTCTTTGTATCAATGGGCAATACTCTCCAAGATAGATTACGTGAAAAAAGTAAGATGGGGAACAGTTTGTATAACAGACTTGCATTTGTGTAAATAACAAATAGATAAACATCTGTGTACGTGCACAGAATATACCTTCAGATCAGAAGGGTCTATGAGGTGCTTGGAATGGTAGTGGTCTCCCCCTAGACGAGCTGGATTACTGCAGGTGGAGGAAGTTTTCACTGTTTTCTCCTTGTGCTTTGTGAATTTTGAACTATGCACAGGTATTATTTGTACAAAACTGTTAAATTTAGTCCTTGGGGTGCCTGGGTGGCTCGGTCGGTTAAGCTTCTGACTTTGGGTTGGGTCATGATCTCAGAGTCCTGGGATTGAGCCCCGTGTTGGGCTCCCAGCTCAGCAGGAGTCTGCTTCTCCCTCTACTTCTGACCCTCCCCCTGCTCCTGTTCTCTCTGTCTCTCAAATAAATAAAATCTTAAAAAAATTTTAGTCCTCAAAAAAACTAAAAATAGAATAACACTGATCCAGCAATTCTGCTTCTGGATATATATATACCCAAAGGAATTGAAGCAGGGTCTCAAAGAGATATTTGCACACTCATATTCATAGCAGCATTGCCCACCATAGCCAAGGGATGGAGACAAACCAATTAGCCATCCGTGGATGGACACATAGACCAAACACGGCAAACACATGCACTGACTACTACTCAGCCTTAACAGGAAAGGAGCCCCTGACACCTGCTACAACATGGATGGACCCGGGGACACCGGGCCCAGTGAAGTAAGCCGCACCGGAAGACAGATGCTGTAGGATTCCACTCATGTGAGGTCCCGGGAGGAGCCAAGTTCACAGAGACAGAAAGGAGGTGGTGGGGCCAGGGCCCGGCTGTTGAATGGGGCCCGAGTTTCAGCTTTGCAGGATGTAGAGTTCTGGAGATGGATGGTGGGGATGGTTGCACCACAGTGTGAATGTCCTTAGCACGACTGAACTGGACACGTAACAATGGGGACTATGACAAATTTTATCATGCATATTTTACAAAAAAAATTAAGACACGATAGTTTGTAAAAGAAAGAAGGAAGGAATGAAGTGTTTGGGCCCCACCCCCGTGATGGGGAGGAGCCCCCGCCGGTCCTTCCTGCCGGCCGGATGGCGCCCCCAGTGGCGTCTGGGGCTGCGCGTCTTGGGAAGTGACCGCCCTCGGTCTGTCCTCTTCTGTTTCAGCGGCCGCCGAGCTGAGTGAGCGGCTCTCGGCTTCGCGACGTCCAGCCCCTGCCCCGCCTCCTGCAGCGGCCCGACCCGGAGTGCCAGCCCCCCCGTGGCCCTTATGTCGTGGTGACCACTCCGAGCGCAGGTCCGTGCCCCCCGGGGAGGGGTGGGAAGGGAGACAAGTTCTGAGCGAGGGTACAGCGTGGTCGCCGGGGGTTACAGTATGCCAGGACCGGCCAGCCCAAAGCTTGCCTCGGTGGCTCCCGAGGGCGGGGGCGGGGGGGGTACCGAGCCCGCCTGGCCTCCACCCTGCGGACTGAGAGCCACGCGGAGCGCCCGGTGCGTCCCTCCCTACCCGTGCCTCAGTCGTCCCACCGATAGGATGGGCACATGGCTACCCGGGGAGCTCCCAGCACAGACGCCTCGCCACCCCCCACGCGGACCCCACTGCCGCCTCCCCGTCCCCACGCGGACCCCACTGCCGCCTCGCCACCCCCACAGGGAGCACGCTGCCGCCTCGTCACCCCCGCGCGGCCTGGCGCCTCGTGTTGTCACCGCCCTCGGCAGGGAGGTGCAGGCGGGACCCATGGAGTCACTACACGGTCTTATGCCCAGGGCTGCGGGGCAAGGCCTCGCCAGGCGGGGATGGGGGTCCCCGCGACTGCCCAAACCCGTCTTCCCGTCACACCTGTGCTTTCCAAACCCTGTGGCGGGGGCTCAGCAGATGTCGCTGGGGAAGCCCACGAGGGGACCCTCCCCTCCCCCCACGCCGGCCAGGGACAGCAGGGCCTCTGCAGCCGTTCATACGGGCCGTTCCAAATACGGCTTCTGCTGTCTTTGCGAATATATTCCTTACCTAATTTTGTTAGCCCTCTCCCGTCACCCTCAGTCAGTGGCCTGGCGGAGTTGAAAGCATCCTGAAAACGTCCTTCCCAAGGGTCTGGGGCAGTGGAGGCAAGTGTGGGAGCTCCACCCCCAAGAGACCTCCACCTGCACCCAGCCCCGCCCCCACTGGCCTGCCTCCCTCCCCTCGCCCCCCTGCCCCGGAGGCATTGGCTGGGGGTCCCCTTCGAGGTTCAGGGCTGGGCCCCTCAGGGGGTGCTGGGCCACATGCTGAACCCCAGGGGCCTGTGTCCCCACCCCAGGTGGGGGTGTGGCCCTGCCTCCCCACTGCCCTGGCTCTCTGCAGGGGTGGAAAATGGTACCAGTCAAGCCCAAGCTGGAGGAGCCCGCTGCCACAGCCCCGACATGGAGGACCCCACGCCTGAGCCCGTCTACGTGGATGTGGACAAAGGGCTGACCCTGGCCTGCTTCGTCTTCCTCTGCCTCTTCCTCGTGGTGATGATCATTCGCTGTGCCAAGGTCATCATGGACCCTTACAGCGCCATCCCCACGTCCACCTGGGAGGAGCAGCACCTGGACGACTGAGGTGCGGGCGCGGGGGGACCTCCACGTCCCCTGGCCACTGGCCCGCCCGCCCGCGGCGCCGGGAATGGATTTGGCCGCAGATGGCGGGGGTTCACTGGAGCCACACCTGCTCCCCCTCGAGCACCGCAGTGAGGTGCGTGGGGGCTCCACGGTGGGCCAGCCTGGAGATGAGAGCACTGGGCTGGGGAGTCACTGTGGGACAATGGGGGATCCCCTTCCCTGGCTCCTGGGCACCTTCTGGGGTTGGGTCCAGGGCAGGCCCCCACTGTCACACAACAGAGGACACTGTCCGCCCTTAAAATGCAAAGCGGCACACACAGGAGCCCCCGTCGCTCCAGCACAGACGTGCCCCCGCCCCGGCCGGCCGCTGGGCAGCAGTGGGGCGAGGGCGAAGGCGAGGGCGAAGGCGAAGGCGGATGCAAGGGGCCTCACCCAACCTTCACGCAGGGCACAGGCCTGCTTCCCAGCAGTATTTTTTTAAAACTAAAACATAGAGGGGTTTATTTTTCCCGTCATAAATGAAATGGGCATTTTGGGAATTTGGGAACATACAGAAAAATAGAAGGGGGGGGAAATGACACTTAGAATCCCACTTCCCCAAAGCCGCCATTTTGATATATTTCTCCCTGGCTTTTTTTTTTTTACACACCTCTTTTTAAACGGTCACGTGCATACTGCAGGGACGATGTTGCCCCGCCTCACAGTAGAGCATGGACCCCTTCCTGTCCCATCCCAACCCGCCGCGTTAGTGGCCACAGAGTGCTCCAGCAGGGCGGGAGGTCTCGGCTCCATCAGCGAGGGCTTCGGCAGCACGGTTAAATCTGTTTGCTGACTTCCCTGCACATGACCTTATCCATGCTGTCGGCTCTTGGGCGTGCACACTCTGCAGGGGGAGCACTGGCCCGGGAGCCCTGGGTCTCGTCCTCAGTACCCCAGCGACTGTGTGGCCGTGAGCAAGTCCCACCACCTCTGCGTGCCTCAGTCCCCTCATGTCACAACGGGGAGGAAAAGCCTTGCTCTCTTTGTTTGGTGTGAGGCTCCTGCAGCTGAAAGGACAAGAGGGGGCTAGTGGGGGGCAAGGAACAGGTTGCTGATAGGGACTGTTCTTGGGGCCCCCCTCCTCCCCCATCACCTCCATCTATGACCTTGCAGCAAGAACACGGGGCCCACAGCGCCGGTCCCAAGTCCCAGCTCCTCTACTTCCTGCTGTATCACCCCAATAACTCCTCAGCCTCTCTGAGCCCCAGTTCCCTCCTCTGTGGCATGAGGGAACCACATCTACCTCACAAGTTTGTTGTGAGGATGGAATGAAGGAACATGGGCCGACATCAGTGTCCTTCCTTGACTCCACCCCTCAGGAGAAGCCAGGGGTCTGAGCCAGAAGGGGTAGGTTCTGGGATCCCACCTCCCAGCAGAGCCTGGAACCCTGGACTTGCCTCAACCTCCCAGGGCCACTTCCTGGGCCAAATCTCCCGGCCAGGACCCCTGGTCGGAGGGATCCTCACAGCAACCTCTCCCGGCACCTGACCTCAAGGGCTATGGTGTCTATTCAGTTACATCATCGTCATTGTCATCTGTCGAACCACACACGGTATGAAGTTACACTAGAAGCCCCTCCCTCCGAGGCATGGCCTGCCATCCCCATCAGGAGAGACCCGCACCTGTGAAGAAGGGCAACGCTCCCTTCCCGTTGCCTGCATCCCAGCCCTGGGTCCCACTCCAACCCAGGCACCTGGGCAGTGGGTTTCCAAAGCCCTGTCACCACTAGGTGACCCCTACAAGTGAACTAGGCCACAGCTGTTTAGGCACATTCCAGGGCCTGTCCAGCTGTCCGCCCCCCCCCCCCCCCACACATGCACACGCACTATGTGGGATGCACAAAGGGGCAGCTAGCAAGGGCAGTGAACCGAGATGCACCGGAGACTCTGGGTGAAGGAAGGACCTTGCACATCGCCTCAGGCCCAGCAGCAGCCTCTGCTCTGCAGCCTACCTCCAAGACACCCAGCACTTCCGTGCAAACCCATCTGCGTGGATTTACGATGGAAATCAGAACCAGCTCCCAATCAGTTAGTAACAGATCCCAAGAACCGGAGGAAGTCCGGAAGACCTCACCAGGAGATACTTTGGAATTCTCAGGAGTGAAAGACAGGTACCCTAGGGTCACATCTGCAATAGTGAGGAGCTTGCTGGGAATCCAGGATCCCGGGCCTGGTCCAGACCTCCAGGGTCCGCGTCTCTGGGGATGGCGCCCAGGAATCTGCTGGTGAGAGTCACCAAGCGGCTGGTGAGTGCACTGAAGTTTGAGAAGCACGGCCCTGGGGATCCCATGCTCCCACTTCATTCTTTTCCACACTTACATCTGCTGATGTTTCCCACCCTATCTCTGGACTGGTGTTTTTTGTTTTTTGTTTATTTTTTGGTGGCAAGGGGAAATAACATTTCAGAAAAGATGAAAAATAAAAATATCACACCCCATCCAAGCCTCCAGCAAAATAGTGATTTTCATTGTGTACCCATACGCTCTCTTCTAATCCTTGTCCAAATGCAAGATACGTTCTTTCATAAATGTCATCACTTACATAACTGAAAATCATACTCCCTCTTAACATCACCTCATGAGCATGTTTCTGCCACAGCCTTCGTATTTATCATTTGCGTGGCCACGGAACGTGCCATCTAGCGTTACACGGTTATCTGGACTCCTATTATTAAGTACTCGGTTGCTTTCATTTTCCCGATTGTACGTGCACCACGAGACAAAAGAAAGATAAGACAGATGTGATGGACCCTGGGAGCTGGCTCAGGGGAATAAATACTTAAACCCCAGCCCCTCCACCTGAGACGCACGTAGCATTTGATCGTATGAAAGGGAATCCGGAGCTTCTGTTGTTGCACTGTCCTGCTCAGGATGAGGAGGTGGGCTTCTGTGATCAGAGCCTCTTGGCCAGCTCTTGGCTAGTCGAGATGTGGTTTGGGGTGTGGATGGAGAGAGAAACTGTCCAGCAAAAGAAATGAACAGAATTTTTGAAGACTGGAAGCTGGTGGGGAGGAAGTGAAAGCATTCAGCGAAAGAGAGAGAGAGGTCTGTGAAGCTTGCCACAGTCCAAGGCTTAAGGGAAAAGACGACCAGAAAGTCTCCACTGCGGAGAAAGGGCGGAGGCTTTTCCAGATCATGGTGTCCAGTGGCCACTTTGGCCTGTGGTCTGCCCTGTGCTCTGCTCAGCTCTCCCAGGTCCCTCCAGACCCTCAGTAGAGTCTGCTCCCCAGTCCATTCTGTGGCAGTGGTATTTGGGGACAATAAAAGCATCTGGACGGTGGGCCATGGGAGGGAACGCAATCCGGAAAGGGACAGGTGGGACACACACAGGCAGAAGTGGGCCGTCAGACGATGGCCCCCAAAAGGCCGGTGGGAGAAACAGGACACGCGCTTCCCCAGCCTGGAGCATCAATTCCCAACAGCTCTGTTTTATTTTTTCCAACTAGTCGCTCAAATGTCTACCGAGGTTTTATGGAATTGAAAGGCCCAGGTCTCCCTTGCCCATAACCCTGTCCCCGAGCTCCAGAGGCCGGCCCCATCTAAAAGGAGCTGGCCGCGCTTCCAAACACCAGCTGGAGAGAATCGCCACGCCCGCTGTGTCCACTGGTGTGGTTCCGTGTCCCGCGGTCTCCCCGCTGAAGACCGCCCTGCCACCCACGGTGGTTAACAAGCTGCACGGTCTGCTCGGAGAGGACAGGTGCCCTGGGATAGCACTGCTCCAACTACGGTCTCAGGATGGGTAACATCGGCGTCACTGGGGGGTATGGGATGGGGAGTAACGAGGGGCTCCCCAGTGAAGCTCTGGGTTCCGGAACCAGTCCTCCTTGCTCCCCGCCCCCACTGAATAGCAGCACCCTCACTTCCCAATGGCTGTTGGGATAGATCCTTCGGACAGTGCAGTGAGCCCCTTCTCTGCCCCCAGGTCAATAAGAGGAGACCCACTGGCCACACTATGAGCCCCCACTGCTGTACTTCCTTCGGTGGGAGGTCATGTTGCTGAGATGCATGGAGATGAACGAACCCTACAAATGCTGGAGAGGCAGGGGCGGCCAGTCCATATCCAGAATCTGAAGCTCTTCCCACCACCCTCCATGATCGAACGGGTGCCGTGTAATCAACCCACCCCCAAGTGGCTGGCCTGTTCCCACAGCCCACTCCTGCGGAATGGTGTCCTACCAGGGGCTGAACTTTGGCCTCACTCATCGGCAGGTTGCATGTCTAGAAATGATGGAAACAGAAGAGGCTTAGTGAGGGAGATCCCGCACTGTTGGACCCATATACGGCCTCCATGTCTTCCACTGTGGCCACTGTGTTCCTGGTGCCACTGAGCAAGCCCCAGAGTGGATAAGGAAGACCCCGACATCCCCACCTGATTATCGAGAGCCTTCTCCGCGTGCATGTCTTCTGATGGGCATTTCGTTGGCACATGAATATCTTCGCATTCAAGACCTTTCAAAGATGTCCTTCCATATACATCTCCCCAAGACGGCCCTGAATCCTCTCTTCCTAAATCTTCTCCAGTTGGGCCAGCACTCTGGTTCGCCTGCTGGGGATGGTTAGAAGCTCCACACGGTATCCCTGTCTGCCACAGACACTCCCTGTACCATTGGGTCTCCTGGACCACCTGGCCCCTTCCAGTCCGTGGGACCCCATTATTACCGCTGACATCTGGGAACCTCATCTCTCACCACTGTCTCTGAACCGAAGGAGAGTTCTTCAAGAATGCTGGGGACCCCCACCCTTACTAATGCATTCTTAATGCCTTTGTGATGGAATTGGCCTCAGGGCCCTCCAGGGAGGTTGGTTTTGGGGTGACTGAACCAGTCAGTTGCACAGAATGGACTCACTCCAACAGGCCCATCTCCCTGAGCCCTCAGACTCCTTCCTCTGCAGTATTCCAAGGAAATTCCAGCCATCATTCCAGACATTCCTTTGTGTACTCAGAAGATTCATTGAAGAGGGCTTAATTCAGGGACCATTTTCAGAAGCACAGACAGGTTTAAGAGAACCAGCAAGGGCGGGTGAATAACCCAGGATCGATGATGATGGGAAGCCATTGCCACTCCTTGCTTGGGGGGTGGGGGCCATGCTGCCCACAGGAGCTGTGAGCCACAGTACAGGGACCCAGCGGGACCCAGCCACCCCAAAACGGTGGCCCAGAAGGGAAGGAGTGAGGAGAACAAATACTCCTGGCTTTTCTTTCTTTTTTTTTTTTTTAAAGATTTTATTTATTATCTGAGAGAGAGAATGGGAGACAGAGAGCATGAGAGGGGAAGGGTCAGAGGGAGAAGCAGAGCCCCCGCTGAGCAGGGAGCCCAATGTGGGACTCGATCCCAGGACTCCAGGATCATGACCTGAGCCGAAGGCAGTCGCTTAACCAACTGAGCCACCCAGGCGCCCACTCCTGGCTTTTCTCCTCCTGCCTTCCACTCTCTGCCTGAGCCTCCGCTGCCCAATCTCAACCAGAAGCCGGAGGCCATGAGCCTGAGTGATGTCATTCACAGAGGCCAGCCTCCCAGGAGGCAGCCGGGCAGGGAAGGACGGAGAACAGATGCGGGGCGACAAACGGAGCATCACCTGCTCTGGGCCCTGGGTGTTCTTCCCTGACAACAGAGCTGAGGCGTGGCCCGGCTACTGCACCAAAACCGATTTTCTAACTGGAATATTTGGGAAAGAGCTCTGGAGTAGCCGTCCTTGATGCCCTTTGGGCTTCTTAGGCAGTTTGGTCCTCTCGCTCTCTCTCTCTCCAGCCAGCTGCACCAAAGTCAGGGGGACCCTGGCTAAGTCCCGCTGTATTCCTTTCTCCAAGAGAAAGAGCGTCTTCTTGCCTGACACACATAGTCAAGACGGACCACGGAACTGGGAACCCTTCAGCCTGACCGCACAGGGAACCGGCTCGTCGATACACGCCCCCAGATAATCCTACTCCATATGATAAGCCACTCCCAGGGCACATCAGTTAGCCCATGAAGTGGGGAGACGTCGGGCTTCACCCTGTAGGTAGAAAGGGGGCTCAGAGCCGTGGCCAGAGGCCAAGGGACCGGACGCCCAGGAGGCTGGAGCCTGGGCTCCATGAGCAGCGCTGTAAGGGACATCCTGCGAGCCGATCAAGAGCGCCCTGATTTGGGAGGTGAGCTTGGTGTTGAGCCGTGAAGCAGGGCACTTGGCGAGGACAACGCCGCCCACATTCATGAGCAGCTCCCGTGTGACAGGGTTTGCGCACAAACCATGGCTCAAAGGCAAAGTTCCAGCCACCGTACCAGGATCTGCCTGCCGGAGAGAAGCGTCGCCCTCGAGGCTCAGAGTTCTGGAGTCCGTCTCAGGAATGCCACTCTCAGATGGCGAAGGGAACAAGCCTCTTCGTCGCACAAAAAACGTCAGAGACAACGTGGGGGCCCAGAGAGGGGGGCACAGCAGAGGTCCTGCCCTTGACCCTGGGTAGGGGCGTCCTTGCCCGGGACTCATGCTTCGGGGAGCCCAGCACGTGACAGACACGCACACATTCACGTAAGGGTCACAGGGGCCCCTCTGTCCCTTGACGGTCTGCCTGGTGTAGCGACCTGCGCCCCAGGTGCCCCTCCCATCAGTGACACTGGCCGGGCCCCAGGCGTAGCCTCTCCCCATGCCCGCACCGTGTCCAAATAAGCGCGGGTCTGCGGTGGGTCACGGCCACCGCGGGAGGTGGGCCTGTCCCCTGCCGCAGGGAGCCAGGGCAGCGGAAAAGAGAAAGTGGGTAAAGGAAAGATGGTGGGTCAGCTGGTTCGATACCCCAGCACGATGCAACGGACTCGGGCCCACACCAGAGGCATTTTCCGGCCGCACCAAACATCCATTTTCTTGCTCTTTGTCCAGTTTGTGCTTCTGGAGACAGATTAGCCTCGTAGTCACAACCACCACACGTGGCAATTAGGGCACATTTTGCAGTATTAACGGGTTCATATTTTAATTTACAGATACGTTAGGTCTCATCATGACACACAAAGAGTGATACTAATTATTTACTGTGGCAACTGGACGGACACTGAACGCTAGGATTGCAAATCGTTTTATGTTTATGGAAAGTGTGTAAAAGGATTTAATTTTTTAAAAATAAATTTAAACATTTCAGCTTGATTTAGATAACTTTGATATGCAATGTTAATATTCTTCAATTATAATTTGTATCTTGCCTTTAATTTTAATGGAGATTTTGAATATTATCAAAGAAAAATAACTGAAAATGCATATGAAATAAATTTAATTTTGCAATTTTTAACATTAGAGTTTTGTGAGACTATTTGCATTTTGTACATTTTGAGTATAATTCACTTTAGTTTCTAATCATTTAGCCTCTCAATAAAACCCGTTATGTCAAAAGCTTGATTATGACAAAATAATTAGTGATTCTAATGAAATTAAGGCAAGAATGATAAATTTTAAGTTTTAAAATTTTATTTAAAAATATTTATAGAACCCATGAATTTGTATGTCTTCAACGCTCATCCCAAACTGCCCCCACCCAGCACTGCTCACGTGCAATGATTGAACTGTTATGTTTGATATGAGAACAGACTGATGGTCAGAGGGGCGGCGAGGGGGAGGAGGGGTGCCCCAGAGGCAGGGGATCAAGAGGACACTCGTCGTGAGGGGCATGGGTGATGTATGCTGAATCTCTATACTCTACACCTGAAACTAATAGAACCCTGTATGGTAATTATACTTCAATTAAAAAAAGAAAAATAAGCAAATTGCTATGCTTGATGTCTTGCCAATTTTCAATCATACAGAAACCATAGATGGTTTTGCAACTATTTTTGTGTTGTCATTACGAAAACATACCTCGAGGCCGGAAGAACAGGATGGCTGTAAGTGTGGAGCTCGACTTACACCTCTTAAATATGGAGGCAGAAGCGGGTCTCCAGGTGTCTCCTGGCTTACGGGCGGGCCTAGGAAGGCGACATAAGCCTGTCGCCGGTGATCTCCCGGATACTCACTCATTAACCAAATACATGCCGAGCGCCTACTATGTGCTGGGTAGCCAGCCACTGTGCAGGTCGTGGAGGACCTTCCTCGAGCTGCAGCTAACTCTGCCCTCGGGAACTTAGCCTCTGGAGAAGGCAGACTCCAGCTTTTGGGTGTGTTGTTGGCACAGTCCCTGAATAATCCTGGCCCCAGTCTTAGTCTCTGAGACCATGAAAAACCAAACCAAACAAACCAAACAGCAGAATCTGCAAGAAGCACCCACTCCCTGCCATCTCCCGTAGATTAGTGGCTCCTCTGGGTCCTTCCCGCCTCTCCCCCAGGTCCGGGGTCCTGCCGAGGGGACAGGAAAGGGGCAGATACAGGAGACAGACTCATGCTTTGGAAGGCAACCCTGTCAGTTTTCCTGAGGGCGTTAAAAACATATGCTTCCAAACTAAAGAAAGAAAAAAAATATATAGCCACTTTTGAGATCCATTTTGCGTCAGGAATCTTTGAGATAAAATCAATACGTAGCTACTTAAAATCCTAAAGCTCCCTTGTCCCCCAGAATCCGGTCTTGGCCTGAGGCTAGCCTCATCCTCGGACTAGCCACCAAATCTGCAAACTCCGTCCACGGTTTCAAAAAGCCTCTAGTTCATGACAGACCATTGTCAAAGAAAGAAAGGCCACGAATGCCATTTTTGTGTATTTCTTGTCCTTTCAATAAGCTCAGCTCCCGAAGCATAGACCACTCATTCACTGGTCATCTGGGGCTGCCCCGGGCATTCCTGGAGCCTGGGGAACAGGGGGCTGCAGGCCGAGGAGGCGTCCGGGCTGGAGGGAGCCCAGGAAGGACCCAGGCTGCGACCTCCTGCTCTGGCTGGTGGATGCGTCCGGGGCTTGGATGATGGCCAGCATCGCCTGCCCTGTGTGCTGGGCTCCGCAGCCCCACCCAGCAGATTTCCCCGCACCGCCCGCCCCAGGAAGCACAGGAAGTGCGTGGCCAGGGGATAAATGCGTGGTCCCCGGAGCTGATACCAGCCCTCCCCGGCACCAGTGGGGCCAAGTGCGTGAATACTGATTTTAAATGACCTTTGTCTGTGAGCCGGAGACCTCCGGGAATGCTCTGCCGTGTACAGCAGGTGTTCAGCCACAGTGACGTCAGGCCTCCAAGGCAGAGAAGGATGAAGAGTCCATGCCAGGAGGGCTCTTCTGATGCCCGGAGACAGGACTTAAAGGAACAACCTCGAACACAGGGTGGAGAACAGGATGCCGGCGCAGCCGACAGAACAGAGGTGACCCTGGGAACACAAGCCCCCGGGAATGCAGAGAAATCTGCAGGAAGGGTCTGGCCTTCCGAATTCAGAAAGTGTTTGGATCAATCTTAACTAGACGGTGGGGGTCTGGGAGTACCCTCCCCGGACCCCCATCCCCTGCCATCTGAGCTATACAGGATTTCCACTGAATCAGCAAGGATTGGAGACCATGGCCCAGGGCTCGGCTCCATGAAAGAGTCAGCTGCGTGAAAGCAGGTCCACCTCCGAGCATGAGGGCTCCCAGCCTGCGGGCTACAGAGACCACCAGCGGCCCCCCCAGTATCCATCCCCCTCCTCTTCTTTAGCCACTGAGCTCTGGTTTTAACTGAAGAAACCATGCATTCAGCTAAAGACTGCATCCCCAGACTCCCTTGCAATGAGGTGTGCTCTTGTGACTAAGTTCTTGCCGATGAAATCGGATGAAAAGTGTGATGTGGAACTCCCAGGGAGGCTGCTTAAAGTGACGTAACTCAGCTGAAAGGATATGCTTCTATCCTCCCCCTCCCCCTGACACCTCTTGATTTCTTTTTTCTGCAGGCCTGGAACTTGGGCATAGTGGCTAGAGCTCCAGCAGCCTTTGGTACCATGAGGCGTCCTTGAGGATGAAAACCACGCGCTGAGGATGAGCGCTGTGGGCTCTCCATGACGCTGTGACATCACCTTACAAACTCTAGACTTCCCGGCCCTGGAATGCTTTCATGGGAGAAATATTAGCCTCCTCGATGTCCCATCCTTGGGGCTTTTTTGCCCTGACTACTCCCTCTGCCTGGAACATCCAGCTGGCTGCCTCCCTCCTGCTGCCTGGCAGGAAAGTATTAAGAATCTAAGACATAAGCCTTCCCTGACCACCCTGCTTATAATAACACCCATGTCCCCCAGTGCTCCGGAGACCTCATCGCTACCTTACATGCAGTCTGTCTTTTCCTTGTCCCTTTGCTTGTTTAGTCTGTCTGCCTCCCACTGGCAAGTAAGCACCACAAGGGCCGAGGCTGGGCTATTCTGTGCTCTGCAGCATCTCTTGTGCTCAGAACAGTGCTGGACACAGGGCACTCGACAAAGATTTCAGGAATGAATGGATGGCATGACCTGACGGGACAGGCTCTGCATGCTCGGTCCTGCTCGCAGGCTCTGCTGTGGTCCACCAGCTCAAGAGAAGTCACCAGGGGACCAGGAACCAGGCTGGGGCTGGGGCTGCCCGTCTGCTGTGGGTACGGCTCACTCTCCTGATTCTCACGGGCTTCCAAGGGAAGCAAAGTGAGCCCCCTTGGCCCCCTTTCTGCCCTCTCACAGTTCAGGTGTGTATGCCCACAACCTGGGGGCTCCACCCGAGACTTACAATGTGCTGAGACAGCCACAGTGCCCGTGGACCAAGTCTGCACCTCATGCACCCCCCAAGTCAGCCCCCAAGGATGTGTGGGGTGCCGGGATGACTTTATGTGTCAACTTGGCTGGGCTACGATACCCTCATGTCTGGTCCAACATTAGTCTAGATGCTGCTGTGGAGGCATTTTTCAGATGAGATTAACATTTGAGTGAGTGGACTTTGAGTAAAGCAGATGACCTTCCCAAAATGTGGGTGGGCCTCATCTAATCAGTTTAAGGCCTTACGAGAAAAAGGCCTGATCTCCCTGGAGGAGGAAGGAATTCTGTAGCACACCACCTTCAGACTCAAACTGCAACTCTTCCCTGGGTCTCCAGCCTACCGGCCCACCCTGCAAATTTTGGATTTGCCAGCCTCCACAATCACATGAGCCAATTCCTTAAAACAAATCTCTCTCTATACATACATACCTTCTCGTTTCTGTTTCTCCAAGGACCCTAACTGGTGTAGGTGCTGCACTCTTCCCACACTCCAGGGAACGCTGGGAGGGCTGGGATGTGTGATGGGAAGGACATGCGATGAGCATCACTCATAAGAACAAGGAAACAAACGAGTGTCTCTCAAGGACCCTCTGGATCAAATCAAGAATGGCGACAGCACGGGGCATAGAGCGTGAAGGCCTTAGAAGGCTTTATTTACCCCTGATGAAGAACCAGGCCCACAGCCCCACAGACGACCGCTGACGTCCCAGGCGGGGGCGGGGAGCTCCTCACGTCCAGCAACGCAGAGGTCACGCGGGCAAGAGAGCGGACAGCACTTTTCCAGCACACTGGCCAAAGCCGACGCGGTACCCATCCCCCTGGCAGTGGCCTGGGACAGAGAAGGACAGGGTTGGCCACGAGGCTGCCGGGCTCACAGGAAGCATAGCCCGAGCCCTGTCCGCCAGACCCTACGCAGGAATGATGAAGACGTATTTTGAACAGAAGAACCACCGTCCCCAGAAGCTGAGCAGAGCCACGGGGGAACCGAGAGGGACTCCAGGCACGTCCTGCCGTCAGGGGCCCTCGGAAGCACGGGCTCCACGGCTTTCCTGACGGGGCTCACCCCTCCCCGAGTGGGCTTGGGTTCAAAGCCCAGGTCTGCTAATTCACAGAGGCCACACTGCCTGAGTTCCACAAATGCCTAATGTTCAACCAACGTGAGCTTCGGCCTCCGATTCCACTTCTACAGGATGAGGGAAAGGCTGGGCGGGGGGTCTGGCCAGCGGGAAGGCCTGGCCCGCCCGGAGTCAGAGGGCGCAGTGTGCGCGGTTCCGAGAGGCCAGCGCGGAGGAGCCGGAGCAGGAAGGCGGGAGCATCTGGGCTGGGATTTGAAGGGTGGGTAGGAGTTCGCCAGGAGGGCACCGTCGCATGGGCCCCAGAGAGGCTGCTTACAGAGAGCTCGGAGGAACCGTGTTAAGGACTTTGAGCCTTATTCTGAGGCCATGGAGGCTCACGGGGGAGTTTCCGGCAAGACAGTGACAGTTACAGGTAGGTCTTAAAGAGCCCGGGGGTGGCCCCAGAGAGAAGGTGGATGGAAACGCGCAGACTTGGGAGTGTCAGGCCTCGGCCCAGGCCCCTCAGACGGCATCGCTCCCCCGGGGCCCCAGGCCTCGTGGAGGCCAGAGCAGGTGAGGGGGCGGCGTCGGCAGGAGGGGAACGGGGACAGGACCACAGAGGCCGAGGGCCGCTCAGCAGGGCCCACTGCCCCGCGGGGTGGTGGCAGGTGAAGGCACCGCACTCAGCGGCCCGGGATCCCCCCCCGCTCGCGCTCCCTCCCACAGGTGTCCGCAGTGGGGTCTCCCCTGCGCCCACTCCCCAGAGTTCCATGAAAGTCCCTCTTCTTTATCTCTTTATTAATATGTAACCCACGCCTCTCCTACCGCCCAATTGTAATCCTCCGTCCTGGCTCCGGAGAATTCCACCAACCTATTCCCATTGTCCTCCTCCCGTGCCAACATTCACTCTGTGGACCCGAGGGACTGCCTCTCCCGGAGTGTCTCTGCCAGGCCTCCAGAGCTCCTTCCCGACAAGGCACGCACAAACCACCAGTAACGGCCTCACATGAGCCAATTCCTTAAAACAAATCTCTCTCTATACATACATACCTTCTCGTTTCTGTTTCTCTGAGGACCCTAACTGGTATAGGTGCTGCACTCTTCCCACACTCCAGGGAACGCTGGGAGGGCCAGGATGTGTGATGGGAAGGACGTGCGATGAGCATCACTCATAAGAACAAGGAAACAAACGAGTGTCTCTCAAGGACCCTCTGGATCAAATCAAGAACGCGAGTGGACCTCACACATCCCATGTGGCTTCTCCCGCCAACTGTGGCTCAGGTGCCATGGTCACACGTGAGGCCTGAGCACCAGTCTCCTCTGCCCCCGGCCCTGGACCGCTGCCCGGCCTGGAACGCCTAGGTGGGGGCCCCGGGGCAGGGACAGGGAGCTGAAGCCGGAATTCCGTCCTCTCCCATCCCAGCTCCCACCCCAGCCAGAACTTCTGAAAACGCTTCGGGGCTTGATGCTCCAGGCGCTCAAGGAGGGCCGAGGGCCTGCACCGGGTCCGCAAGCACCACAGAAACCCTGGAAATAAGACTGGCCACAGAGAGGGCCATGAGCACAGAGAGGACCACGGCCACAGAGAGGACCACAAGCATGGAGAGGACTAAGAACACAGAGAGGACCACAACCATGGAGGGGACCACAAGCATGGAGAGGACCAGGACCACGGAGAGGACAAGCACAGAGAGGACCACGAGCAGAGAGAGGACCATGAGCACGGAGAGGACCACGGCCACGGAGAGGACCACGAGCACAGAGAGGACCACGAGCATGGAGGACCATGACCACGGAGAGGATCAGGAGCACAGAGAGGACCACGACCACAGAGAGGACCACGAGCACAGAGAGGACCACAGCCACAGGGAGGACCTGAGCTGCACCCTGGCTTCCCCCAAGCGTGATCCTAGCAGGGAAGCCACCCACTGTCAACCTGAGCTCTTTGCTCTGGAAATCGGGGCAATGAGTCCTTGGCCAGGGGCTCCTGTGAGCGTAAGATGGAGCCAGGGCGGCAAACGCACTACAACACGTTGGACCCTGGCCAGTTCTCAGTAAACCCCAGCGAAGCGGGAATTAGGCCGTGACAGGGCGTGGGGACGGTGAGCGCCCGAGCTCTGCCTGCACCATCTCTACCAGCTCCACTTCCTTAATTAGCCAACAACCACACGACTCCTACAGTGTGGCTACACACAGTCAGCCTGCAGAGACACGTGGGGCCGGAGCTTGCCCTGCAAGCGCCGTGCAATCGGCTGAACAACGACCGCAAAGAGCTCAGGCCCTCGGCCCTGGAACCCGAGTAAGTTAGGGGTCTTAGATGGGGGATGACGCTGGCGGGCCCTAAAGGCCGTCGCAAGCGTGCCACCGAGCCAGGCAGCAGCAGAAGAATCCGCGTGAGGACGGCGGGAGAGGCCACAGGGATGCGGCGGCCAGGGGACGTCCTCCCCAAGAGCCCCCAGGAGGAGGGCGCCCTGCCGACGCCGGGGTTTCAGACTTCTGCCCCGCAGAACTGGCAGAGAATGAACCTCGGTTGTTTTAAGCCAGCAAGTCTGTGGCCGTGGTGGTAGCAGCCCGAGGAAGGAATCCAAGCTGTGTGCCACGTCGGGAAACAGACGTGCACACACTCAACCAGAATGCGGTGCTTTCAAGGCCCCGCCGCGCGAGCAACCAGCCCGGGCACTACTGGGGCTGAGCGCCACCCAAGTCCGCAGGCTCCGCGGGCGGCCCCGAATCGGGGCGCATTGACGCAAGAGCCCCAGGGGGCCAGGACGAGCGACGGGGATGCAGACCCGAAGGGCGGTCTCGAGGTGCCCACGGCAGGACGGACAGTGGGGCCGGGCACAGGATGGCAGTCCCCCCTCGGAGGGGTGGCTGCTTGGGGTGCGCAGCTACACAGAGGGGGGCGTGAGGCTCGGAAAGGCTGCTCAGCAGGCTGTGCCGATGCACAGAGGAAACAGAGGCACGAGGACGGGGCCAAGGAAGCAGGTGACAGTGTGACACAGGGGGCTGTGAGCATGGAGGACTGGGGCAGGCGTGCCCACTGGCCCGCACCCGAGGGTTCTGAAACACGGGCCTGGAGAGATGCACAATGATGGTAGGAAAACAAGGGGTTCAGAGTCGGGGGCCTGACGAGAAGCTGCCCAGGTGGGGACCTCGGTTTCAGTGCCTATGGGTAGTGAGACCCCAGGCAAGAGATTTAACCCTGCCAGGTGCTCCCGAAGACCAGACCCTGCATTTGTCTTGTTCCCGACTGGAACCCCAGAATGGGACTCGCAGCAGGTGCGTGAGAATGAAGGAACAGAGGCTCCTGGGTGGCTCAGTCGTTAAGCGTCTGCCTTCAGCTCAGGTCAGGATCCCAGGGTCCTGGGATCAAGTCCCTCGTTGGGATCCCTGCTCAGCGGGGAGTCGGCTTCTCCCTCTGACCCTCCTCCCTCTCGTTCTCTCTCTCTCAAATAAATTTAAAAAAAAATCTCAAAAAAAAAAAAAAAGAGAATGAAGGAATAAACCGGCTCCCCTCATCCTTACAACCATGCCGTGAAGATAAGTTCTGTATCGTTAACTCCATTTTAAAGATGAGGAACCTATAAATAAAATCTTAAAAAAATAAAATAAATAACATTTAAAAATTAAATCTTTAAAAAACAAAAAATCTCTGCTCCTCCCCCCACTCATGCTCTCTCTCTCTCTCTCAAATAAATAAATAAAATCTTTTAAAACATAAATAAATAAGGATGAGGCACCCAAGTCTGAGAGGGTCAATGACTCGCTGAGGGTCACACAGCCAGAGGGATCTGGGGGTGGACTCAGGTCTGCCTCTGGCCGTCGCTGTGCCTTCCGCTTGAGTGAGAACATCCGGCGGGCAGAGTGGCCTGGCTCAGCCCGGTCACAGGCCACGGGGTCCTGGCACCAGGACTATGGGAGCCTGCGGCTACTCCGTAGCCTCGCTCGGGAAGGAGGGAGACAGAGCGGACTCCGGGGGTCTTCTCGGTCCCAAGGACTGAGCTTCACAGTCCCCGGGGGCCACAGCTGTGGGGGAGGGTCTCAAGCAGACATGGGGGGCCCGGGAATGCCAGAGTGGGGACGAGATCACACAGACGGCTTCTCGGCTAGAACAGGGCGTGCAGGCGAGCGGGGGACGCGCGGAGTCCACCGGGCCTGGCTGCCCTCACCTGTTATGATGACTTCATCACCGTCCAGCAGGAACTTCCTGGTGTGCCCGTGCCCCAGCTCAATGGCCTTTGTCCCCCTCCACGACAGCTCCAGCATGCTGCCAAAGCTCTCTGGCTCCTTCGGCACAGGGAGGGGAAGAAGTCCTCACGTGCGCTTCCATCTTGGTGAGAGCGTCGGCTGCAGGGCGGACTCGGCAAAGCCGAGGGGCCCCAGGCAGGGACGGGTGGGACTCTGCGCCGGCCCGCTCGCGCTGTTTGGGCCTCGGGCAGTGCTGGGGCAGTGCGTCCAGGCCCCTGCCCGCCCCGGGGGCTGCATCGTACCCAGGCACTGCCATGCCTGATACCCTCCCACTGCGGTCAGGACCTTGCAGGAAGTGACTAGCACGTGCACCATCCCAAAGTCACCATCCCCTAAGGTTCTACGACTCTCCCATGGGCTTAGGGTGGCATGGGGGTGCAGGGGGCACAGCAGTGGGGTCACCTCATCCCGGGAGGGTGCATGGGAGCCGGTGACAGCCAGACACCATGGCCGCTCCCTGACGCCCCCCACATGTCACCCTGTCCCCTGAGCAGATAGATGCAGCCTCCCATCTGACAGTGTCTCTAGGTCTGGACCTGGAAAGGAAGGCCCCGTGCACCCCCCCCCTGGACGAAGCTGTAAGAAGGAAGAGTTGTCAGATGCACCCGCCCCGGGGGGGGAAGTCCCTTCTGCAGGACGCGCTCAGGGCCCTCGTGTCTGTGTGCGGAGTAGGCTGTCTACATGGGCAGCACCCAAGGCCATGGGAGACTCACCGGCCCGCTGATGGTTCCAGAAGCCAAGAGGTCCCCTGGGCGAAGGTTGCAGCCATTGACGGTGTGGTGGGTCAGCTGCTGAAGCATCGTCCAGTACATGTACTGCAGGCAGGGACACAGAGGAGGACAGGGAAGGTGGCTCACCCCAGCCTCCCGGTTGGCAGCTCACACAGCCACTCGTGGTAGATAGCCTCCCCTGGGCTCTCTCCCGGTGCCAGCTCGCCCCGGTGGTCACAGCAACCACAGGCTGTCCTCCTGGGGTCCTCCCCCTCCCTCCCAGCTGTGCACTGGCCTGGGCTCCCGGCTCCTTGAGGCTCCCTAACCTGCCTTCTCCAAGAAGGCAGACCTTCTCCCTGCTCAGATGCTCAGTCTGCAACCTGCACCTCTGTCCGCAATCACACACTGCCTTACGAATACCCGTAGGTCCTGAGTTGGCATGCTTTAGGACCTCATCAGGCAGAGGCTTCTTGTGAGCAAAGAGCTCACTGGCATCCCCCGACCCCGACCCCGACCCGGGCCCGCCCCACCTCCCTGGGCCTTGAAGCATAGAGCAAACAGGATGTCAGGCAGGCCCAGGACTGAAGGAGCGTGAAGGGAGCTCCACCTGGGGAAGGGGGCCAAGGACCACGGGGTCACCAAGATGCTCAGATGCAGTGCCAGCCCACGCCTCTCCGAGCCCACGGCTTCTTAGATCTGCCACTCCCGGAGCCACATGTCTAGACGCAGGAGAACTTAGAAACGGGTTCTTGCCCAAGAGCCCCGTCGAGGAGGCCCCCTGATTCCTTAGCCGCCTAAGGAGCCCAGAACAATGTCCAGCTAGAAGGGAGACTAGAGGAAACAGAACTACGTTGATCCAGAGGATGCTCACAGGTTCAGTAAACACATGAAAAGGTGCCTGGTCGGCGGGGGGAGGCGAGACGCAAACCACCGCACCCCGAGCAGCTAAAGGGAGAAGGCGCACGGCAGCCGAGCCGGCCAGGACGGGGAGCGAGCAGTCGGGCAGCCAGGATGCTGGCGGGCTCTGGGCTGCGTACGGGCTGGCTCGAGCTCCTCGGGAAAGTGTCTGGAAGCCCTTCTGGGCTGAGTCTATAGACGTAAGTGCTCTGAGCGAAGGGCCCAGCGACTGCGCTCCTGGATACACAGCCAACTGGAAAGTGCCCGTGTGTGCACCAGGATGTGTACTGGATTGTTCCCAGGGAGTCTAGACTCGCCGCAAGGGGGAACAACGCACACGTCCGCCAAGAGCGGAGAACCAGCAGTGGAACGTCTCCGAGACAAGACTGAAGCCCCGCCAGGACCAGCGCACGGCCGGACCGCAGGGCCACAGTACGGAGCAAAGGAAGGTGGAGGGAGGGGAACACACACTGCACCCTTCCATTTCCATAAAACCGAAGAACAGACCAATTTCGTGCACGGCCACACAAGTCCGGAGAGAGGTCCCCCTTGCAGGGGGAGGGGGTGGCGACGATGTGACTGGAGGGGGACAGTGGGGGGCAGTGGAGGCCCTGCAAATCTCCATTCCCTGGCCCCGCTGCTGGCCACGCAGGGACGTTGACTTTGTGAAAGTTAATTTAGAATTTGTGCTTTTTCCTCTGTGTGTGTTAGGCTTCAATGAGAAGCTCAGTTAAAACAAACGTTAAGTCACTCGGATCAATCCATTCCCCGCCAGGACAGAAACAGCCAGAGACTAGACCCTTATAGGAACATCGACTGGTCCCCCAAGGAAATCACCGGTCACGTCTACGCAGCCTGCATCTGGAGGGATCCCTGTGGCCTCGTGGCCTCTCTGGGAAGGAACAGGGCCACAGAAGCTCCAGGCCTGCGCACCGAGCCACCACAGTATCCCGGAATGGCTGCAAGCCTCCTGTTCTTGCCGGGAGGATGACGCCGAGTCCTGCACTTCCAAGAGGCAGTCTGCCCAGCTTCAAAGCTCACCTTAAAATTGGACTTGCAGATGGTGGCTGCCTGGCGCATTCCTTCTCCTGTTGGAAACACAAGTAGCATTAACAAGGGGACTTCATGGATCAAGAAGTGGGGGGAACACTTGTAAGGGAAACGGTCGTGTGGCCCGTGAAGCAGTGAGCTCACAGCACATCGGAGCTGGGGATCTGCACCGAGGTGATCACCTGAGACAATGCGCACGTCGAAACCTACCCGCCCCTCCCCCAGACGGGCAGCGTCTGGTTTACGATGTACTTCAGTGGTATTTACCATAAACAGGCAAGGCACCAGGTCACTGCTGTTCCGTTTCCCCACTGTGCTCACACCCAGAAAGCCCTCTGCTCCCTCAGAATCCTTGGCCCTGGCTTCCCCTCCGAGGCCGCAAGGACAGGTGTGCCCCTTGGCCCCAGGTCAGGTCAGGGTCCCCACGCCGGCTCCGGCCCACACCTGTCACCCAGATCCCCACTGGGGCCATCAGAACGGCACGCTCGGGACTGGGGAGGGGAGGGGGTCTTGGAAGCCAATCCTGCTCCCAGTCCTCCCCTTCTAGGTCTTTCTACATCTCTGGACACCGCGCCTTCTTGATAATCCCGTCCCTTCCCCAATGGGCATTCCCCTGGATGTTTCCAGGCAGGCAGATGAACCTAAGACAGAAGTGGGCCCCCAGGAGGGTCTGTGTGTAGGAGGAGACCAGCCCAGATCCAATGACACCAGGTTTCCTCTCAGCCTGGCCAGTACCCCCCGAAGCGACTTGGGGTGAACCCCTTGTCCTCTCTGAGCTTCATTTTCACACAGCATGTAAATGAAAGGACAGGGCCACCGTAGATCTCCAGAGGACACTATGCTGCAGCTGTGGGACATTTCCTAAAGCCCCTTCCTCTGTGGGGCATCCTGCTCCCGCGGTGACAGCTCTGTCCCCTTCTGCAGGGAAACCACCTCCATGAAGGGCGGGGACGCTGGAGCGGGCAGGGTATACACCGGCCGAGAGGAGGAGAGAGACCCAGGCCAGAGTGTGGCCAGGGGTCTGAGTGCGGCCCCCTGGCAAACCCTCCCCCAGCCCCAAGGGCCCCCACGAGGAACGGAAATGACACCAGCCTCTTCCTAGGGACCGGCTCTGCTCTAGACCTTTACAGAGTCCACCTCCTTAACCCTCACGACCACACGTTCAGGTCAGTGCCATTACCGGCCCATTTTACAGACGACACACTGGGGCACAGGCAGGCTCAGCCACTTGCCCAGAGCCCCCACAGCTGAGCAGGGACGGGATGAACCCCAGCCACTGCCTGCAGAGCCCACAGCTGAGCAGGGGGGGGACCCCAGTCACGGCCTGCGGAGCCCCCACGGCTGAGCAGGGGTGGGGGGACCCCAGCCATGCCCTGTGGAGCCCCCACAGCTGAGCAGGGCTGGGGGGACCCCAGCCACGGCCTGCGGAGCCCCCACAGCTGAGCAGGGGCGGGGGGACCCCAGCCACGGCCTGCGGAGCCCCCACAGCTGAGCGGGGGTGGGGGGACCCCAGCCACCACCTGCGGAGCCCACAGCTGAGCAGGGGTGGGGGAAACCCAGCCACGGCCTGCGGAGCCCCCACAGCTGAGCAGGGGCGGGGGGGACCCCAGTCACGGCCTGCGGAGCCACATTCTTCACACGAACGCTCTATGGGCTTATTAACAGAGTCAAGCAGAAGAGCGTCCGGGGCACGTGGGCCCCGTGTGCGAGGCTCTCAGGGCCGACCCAGGGTGGGGTGTGGGGCACCGACTGCGCGGCCCCGGAGAGCAGAGCCAGGCTTTCCACCAGGCCCCGGATGGAATATGGGGCACAGGAGGGGGGGGGTCACTGGTGTGTGCGAGCGGAGGCTGGGCAGATCCTGGCTGGGGGCCGACGAGGGGATTCCGGCAGAGGAGGGAGGACCCGGACTCCGTGCTTTCTGGCCCAGAGAGTGGAGAGCGCAGTGACAGGCCGCGAACGTCCTGGGCGCTTCTGTGGTATCCTCCGAGCAAAGGGCATCCTGTCCCCCTCTTTCCCTTTGCAGGACCCCCGCAGCTCCACGGCCGCAGCAGGAGACGCCCTCTCACCGCCCCCACCCACCGAGCTCAGGGGCGATCGGGCAACGGCCCCGGCCACCTGTGCCCACTGAGGCCCTGGACACTCCCCCCGCCGCCACGACAGTACCTTTCAGGGTGACGGAGAGGCTGATGTCGAACGAGTAGGGCTGGTCGTGGCGGAGATACGGCAGGGGCCTGGGGTCCTGTGAGGGCAGAGCACAGCACAGGGGTGGCTGGCAGATGGCGCTGGCCCGGGGGGCCCCCAGCGCACCAGCACCTGCTCCCCCCACCCCACACAGGGCCCCCAGCCCCAGGCAGAAGGAGCTCCCCGCACAGTAGGGACCAGGTGGTCACCTGCGCCAGGCTGGGGAGAAGCCGGGGGAGGAGCATCTGCAGCTCAAGGGCACAGGGGTCAGATCAGAGGTGCCCCAGAAAGCCAGGGAGCAGGGACGCGCAGCCCCGTCGGTGCAGGCCCCGTGGAGGCAGCTCCACGGCCAGGCCACGGAGTCCACGTGGCAGCCCACGGCAGTGGGCAACACACGAGTAAGATGCGGTGATTGTAACGCTTCCGTGTTTCTTTTTAGGATTAACTTGGTGGCTGGTGACACCAATGGGGATATGAAGTAAAAACAAACTAACAAACAAAAAACCTTCCTTTTCTAAATACATTATTTGAGTTTAAAAACGGGAGCTGCTTTAAAGGAAAACATCAAATAAGTAACAGGCAGAGGTAGCAAGCATTGTGAAGACCCCACAGGGCAGGTGTTTGGGAAGGTCTGGCTCCCGGGAAGGCAGACAGACAGGGCGGTGTGGAGGGGCGGGAGGGGTGCAACACGGCCCGCAAGGAAGAATGAGGGTGCCTCTTCGTGAGGCATCGGCTCGCAGGGAAAGACTCCAAGCGTGCCTTGAGCAGAGCAGACATGAGTGTGGGGGGGCAGCGTGGATGCAGGCGCCCCAGGAGGGTGTTGGGTGGACGGCAAAGGGCTGAGAGCATCGCAGGCCTCGGGGAGACCCAGGAGGCAGGGGCATGGAGCGCCGGGGAAGAGCAGGGGGCTGCCACGGGCCCATGCTGGAGAGGTCACAAGGCCAGAGCCCCTGGAAAGGGTGCTGGGATCAGGACCCCCTGTTGCCGGGCTCCAGGCTGCATTCTACCAGTTGGGCTCTAGGGGGCACCCCCGCACAGAACAGAACTTGGCGAAGTTGTGCAAGGTGGTGGCATTGGCCAGGACCCCTTCTCTTCCTGCCAACCGGCCTCAGAGGATTCCGAAGGGTACAGAATTCTGCGTTTTCCCCCAAGAGATGGGCGGGGAGCAGGGAAAGCACAGGCAGAATGACTGGTGCCAGGCCTGCCTGAGGCCACGCAGGGGGTCCCCCAGCACACGGGCAGGCGGGGGGCACGGAGCTTCCCTGCAGATGCAGACAGCGTGGATGGCCGGTGGCAAGCGGCCGCAGAAGCACAGGGCCCGGGTGCAGCTTCCCGCCGAGGGAATGCTTACCTGCTCTGGGTTGGGCACGGCAAAGGGCATGAGGGCCTCCATGGGCACCACCCACGGAGAGATAGTGGTTCCCAAACTCTTGCCAAGGAACGGCCCAAGAGGAACATACTCCCACTTCTGAATGTCCCGAGCTGCAAGAGAAGGGCCGAGCAGGGTTTACAAAGGCTGCCCAGGGCCTCGCCCCAAGACTCCGTCCGCCCCTCCACCGAGGAGCACCGCCGTCCTGCATGGAGCCCTGACCCCGGCCAGGCTTCCCGGAACCACGGGGACCACGGGGACCACGGGCAACAGCATTCAGGGCCAAGGACAGAGGTCCTTTGAGGTCACTGTGCCAGGTTACAGCAAAGAGAAGGATGACCAAAGGGCAGGCAGGCACTCCCCCAGGAAGGGGCTGGAAGCTCATCCTCCCCCTGGCGGGGGGGAGGGCAGACACTTCCCGGCACTCAGACATGAGGCGTAGGGGTCGGGAGCCGCTGGGACACTGAGCTGCTTTAGTTTGAAATCTCAGCTCAGCAATAACTGCAATCTCTCTGTGCCTCAGTTCCTCACCTGTGAAAGGGGGATACTAAGGTTACCAGACCTTGTGGGTGTTCGGCACAGAGGTGCTCACAAACGTCAGCTGTGATGTCTGCCTTGTCCCTGGTTGACTTACAGGAGCACAGGAGATCAGAACGGGGAGGTAACTGGCCCAGGACTCAGAGCTGAGAAGTCTGCGTGACACCCGAGCCGCGCTCCCCACCTCCGGCCAGCACCAGACCCCGAAACCATCCACGGCTTCTGAGACAGGGTCCCCAACACCCAGTCTTCAGCGAGAGCAGGGGGCGCCGTGAGCCCGACCTCAGCACGCCCACACCCCAATAATTACCGCTCCAGTCGTTCATAAGAACCATTCCAAAAATGTGCTCGTGGGCCCTGGAAATGGGGATCGGCTCTCCAAAGTTGTTCCCAGGGCCTACAAAGAAAGCCTGACGTGGGGGAAAGTTGATTAGAGTCGGGGCACTGGGCTGGAGGGCAGAGGTCGGGCATTTCCAAACCCGGGCCAGGGACCAGGACTGCCACCGGGGACCTGGCCAGGCTACGAATCCAATTCTAAGTCATGAATGCACTCGAGCGGGCAGCGGGTCACCTCGGGAGAGCGGGGAGAGGCAGGATGCTGGCGCCACCCACGGCCTCCGGACCACTCCAACCCCGTGGCAGCCCCACTCCCTCCCTCAGCAAGCCCCAGGCCACTCTGCTCCTTCCCTCGCACCCCCGCACACACCCCACACGCTGCATTTCAGGATCTGACAGCTACACCGGGCTTATGGGAGCCAGAAATATCTGGGTTTGTACTTGTGTCATTAAATCAGAAGCCTGCCTGGATCCATAATGCAGCCAGGAGGCCCAGAGGGGGCATCTCCCGCACCCCCACCCGGAACCCTCCCCCTCTGCGGGGGGACGTCACCAACATGGTGCTCGGGAACCAGCAGAATCCCGAAACATCCTCGCAGGAAGAAACGGGGAAAATAACTGTCAGGCACACACACAATCAGCCATGACATTTGCAAAACCTGTCACAGTTTGATTTGTTCTGTGACAGTGTTTAAACACTGCAAATCTTTTAATCAAAATTAAAAAAAAAAACCCACGGCACCAATCTCTATAGAATCTTATCACATCAAGTGCAGATCATCTGCGCTCCCCACCCTGCACCGTCTCTCTGCACACTGATTTTCTGCCTCTACTCGGCTTGCTGTCCACCCCCAACAGGACAATCGGCCTGCAGACGGCCCCGCTCCAGTGCCTCTGGGCTGGCAGACCTCCTCCTGGGGTCTGTGTGGCACCCTCACTGCAGGAAACAGAGGGCTGGCTGGGAAGGCCTTGTTATTTGGAAGTGCCTACACGTTCTTGCCTCTGGATGGAACCCCAAGAATCATAGGGCAGGACTGGAGGGACAGGGAGCTCCAGCCTGCCTCCAACCAGCCCTGGCTTCCCAGTGTCATGGCCCTACCAGGTGGCCGACAACCCCTTCTCCTCCACCTGCCACAAAGAGACACTCAGAGCTCCCCGGGACATCACCCAAACCCACGGGTGCTGATGGTGGGAAGCCCCCCACCACCTGCCTGTCTGCACGTCCCCCCACTGGGCCTGGCTCCGCTGCCCACCCTCTGACCACCCAGCGAGCTGCACCAGAGTCCTCCGTCCAGTTCAGCTCCTCCCCCTCTCAATGTCTTCGTCCCCCTGCCTCAGGGACTTCCCAGAGTTCAGTGTCCCTGGTAAAATGCACAGCCCTGCAGCATGAGGGGTCCTCAGGGATGAATGTCAGCGTCCTGGGGATGAAGCGATGGTAGGTACCGCCGTGCAGGACGCTACCCCTGGGGCAGAGTGTGTGTGGGGGGGGTGTTTGGGATCTCTCCATGTTCTTTCTTTTTTTTTTTTTTTTAAATCTTTTATTTATTTATTTGAGAGAATGAGAGAGAGAGAGAGAGAGAGCACATGAGGGGAGGAGGGTCAGAAGGAGAAGCAGACTCCCTGCCGAGCAGGGAGCCCGACGCGGGACTTGATCCCGGGACTCCAGGATCATGACCTGAGCCGAAGGCAGTCGCTCAACCAACTGAGCCACCCAGGCGCCCTCTCCATGTTATTTCTTATGACCTGATGTCACTCTACAAGTATCTCAAAATGAAAAGCTTAATTTAAAAACCTGTGGAGGCCTAAAACAGCCACGGTTCTGAGATTATGTGGGCCCGACCACAGCTGCAGGGGGGCTGGGTCAGGTGACCCTTGTCATGTACTGTCTATTGATATAGAACCTACACACACGCGGAAATAGCAGGTGCAGACCCTCGGCTCCTACGGAAAGTACAGGGCCTACATAGCCAATCAATACCTAACCTTGTTTCGTGTGCGTTTCTGTCCTTAGACAGGCACCTTGTCCAACATCTACTGCGGACTCAGGAATACGAACGCATGAGCGCCGGCCTGTCCAGCACGGATGTGTTCTCCGGAGGGCGCGTCACGAACACCAGATGATGCTACGGCCCTACACTCGAGGGGTAACTGAAACAGCGAAAGCACCCCCTAAAGAAGCACAAAGATACAAAACAAGGGGCGCCTGGGTGGCTCAGTCGTTAAGTGTCTGCCTTCGGCTCAGGTCATGGTCCCAGGGTCCTGGGATCGAGCCCCGCATCGGGCTCCCTGCTCGGCGGGAAGCCTGCTTCTCCCTCTGTCTGCCGCTCCCCCTGCTTGTGCTCTCTGTCTCTCTCTGTGTCAAATAAATAAAATCTTAAAAAAAAAAATCTTGGGGCGCCTGGGTGGCTCAGTCGTTAAGTGTCTGCCTTCGGCTCTGGTCATGATCCCAGGGTCCTGGGATTGAGCCCCACATCGGGCTCCCTGCTCGGCGGGAAGCCTGCTTCTCCCTCCCCCACTCCCCCTGCTTGTGTTCCCTCTCTCGCGCTTTCTCTCTCTCTGTCAAATAAATAAATAAAATCTTAAAAAAAAAAAAGGATACAAAACCAGGTGGCTTTCAGTAGTGAGAAGAGCACGTGTCCAGTCTGAGCTGGACCAAGAAGGCAGAGCATGGCACACACCATTGGGGACTCTGATTCTCTGCCACTCTGTGCGTGTCCGCCCGTGACCCCTGCAAGCTCTGGGATGCTGCGGGGGAGTTACCGATTAGCTCTTAGCAAGTTCACAAACACGGAAGCTGTGTGAGGATGGACCGTCCCTGGGATGGCCGGGCGGGGAGCCCGGGCAGCCCTTCCGGGGAGCACTCCCGCGGGACGCCCGCACAGAGAGCGGCCTGGCTTACCATCTCCAGCTCCATGTCCAACAGCTTGCAGGCGCCATAGACAGGAGGCTTAGCTGCAAGCGGGCGGGCGGGAGAGAGAGGCTGTGGTGGGTGCCGGGCCCCGGAACCGGCCGCGTGGGCACATAGAGCGGGGACCAGGGAGGCCTGGGCGCTGGGGCCACTTACAGTCATCGGGGCTCATCTGCCCCATGGGCCTGCGGATCGGGGTGCCGGACACCACGACGGAGGAGGCGCGGCCGTGGTAGCCCACGGGAATGTGCAGCCTGAGAAAGGGGAGGAAGGACGCCCGACCGTTACACGCCGCAAAATGAATTTCTACAGTTTTCAAAATTAAAAACAAAAAGGAGTCCACACATATACACATGGTTCCAAAACCAAAAGGTAGTCCCAAGCATCCATCCACGGGCAAAGAGATAAGCAAAGTGGGGTCTACACGCACCATGCACGAGGGCCACCCGGCGAGCACTAAGTGGGCGGAAGCACCGGCCCACGCCCTGACCCGGCGAGCCTCAGCGACACCACGTGCCCGGCTCAGAAAGACCAGCACGATCCTGCTTCCGCGCTGTCGTGGACAGAGCCGGGGCAGGGGCCTGGCGAGCTGGTGCTAAACGGGGAAGAGCGTTAGCTGTCCAACATGAGAAAGTTCTGGGGGTGGATGGTGCTGACGGGTGCACCCCAGTGTGAGTGCACTTGGTGCTGCAGAGCTGAGCACCTCACAGGGGTGCCCCCATCCTGGTGCCCAGCACCACCGTGGTGCCGACGCCGCTCCCCCCGCGGGGAACAGTAATGGTCTCCACGCACACACCGCGCTCAGAACAGGCCGGCACCACGCAGGGTCCCTCTTCAGACTCCTCCCGGACCCTCCCCCCCGAGGTGCTGGCGCAAACTCAGCCCGGAGCAGAGAGGAGAGCGTCCGGGCCTTGGCCGAGGTCACCCGGTGTGGCACGCTGGCCCTGGGCGTCCGACCCGGCCGGTCTGACGGCAGAGCTGCGCGGGGCAGCGGGAACACTGCCAACAGCTCGGTCTCTAAGACAGAAGAGCAGCAGAGGAAGTGAAAAAGGAAAGTGCTCCCAAATACCAAAACACATAGTAAAGCGATTTAAAATATTCTGGTGCGCTAGGAATGGACAGCCAAGCGATCCGAGCCCTGAGCGTAGGTCACAGCGCAGCACGTGACGGACAGACTGCTCATGTCTGCACGAGTCAGACCTTACAGTGGGCTCCCCGAAAGATTTTGTCCACGTCCTGTCCCCCAGAAAATGGGAAGGTGACCTTATTGTGGGAAAGGGTCTGCGTTAAGGGTCGTGAGATGAGGTCATCCAGGATCATCCAGGGGAGCCCTAAATCCAGCGACACAGGAGGCCCGGCAGTCAGGCCCGGGTTGCCTGCAGCCTCCAGGAGCTGGAGAAGCAAGGGCACAGACTGTCCCCTGGAGGCTCAGAGGGAGCGCAGCCCGGCTGGAACCTCGCCCCAGGCTCCGGCCCCCCCGAGCCCTGAGGTATTCATTTCTGTCATCATGAGCCCCTGGTTTAGAACAATCATACGGGCGTCCAGGAGACGGGTCCAGGCCCACACCTCCCGTCACGCAGACGGGGAACTTCAGGCGGGGTACACATCTACATCTGCACAAAGTGAAGCTACAGGAAGTGCTAGGGGCAAAGCACAAAGACCGTCTTCAAGTTCTTGGGCCCGAAAAAGCCTCAGGATGACATGAAAGCCAATGTCATTTAAAAAAATGATGGACATGTTTGACTTTGGGTAAAGCTTCTGTATGGGGAAAGAGCAAAGTAAAAAGATGCCACGCTGAGAGAAAGTATTTACGATGCACGACAGCAGAGGGTTCATTTCTATTACATATAAAACATTCTTTCAAATTAGTAAGGGAGCAGGGTCGGTACAGAGAAGCTGGAATGTCTGCGGAAGAATATGGAAAACGGACAAGAGTTTGGGCCCCGGGAGGAGGGACTTGGGGGCCCCCAGAGGGTGGGCCCCGGAGGGCGAGCCCGGCTCAATCACAATGTGCACACATTCCCGGTATAATAAAGAATATATGCAGAGAGTGAAAAAGGCACAGCGTGGGCCACCTCGCCTCAAACATCCGGAGAGAAGCTGTTTGCTCTCACCTGCCTGCGGGGGGCAGAGCCTGGTCTGTCTGCGCACCTGCTCTCCCAGACTCCCCCGCCCTGCTCTGCAACCTTGGCCTTGTGGCTTCACTTCTCTGGGTCATTAACCTGCTGTCTCTTTCCCTCAGCCTTCCTCGTCTTGATCCTGACAGACATTCCCCGGCCTGGGCTCCGTGCCTGCCACCGTGTTCTGAGTAACCACCACATCCAGCGGACAACACGGAACAAAAGGGCAAGGATCCGGGCTCAAGGATCCTCGACCTGGGAATTAGGAGCCGCCTCTGGCCCTGTCTGTCCTCGGGCAAGTCAACCCTCCTCGGCCTGTTTTTGCTCCCGTGAAACGGGGCTAAGGGTGGGCACAGGCTTGGAGACCCACGAGCCCCTGTGCGGATCCCAGAAACGGCTCATGCTGTGCGCTGACTGCACTTTGATAAAGAGCATGGGCGCACTTGAGGATTCTCAGGCACCAGAAAGTTCCAGGCATGGAGAAGGCTAGGATTCGAAGCGTGCCCACAGAGCAGGAAGACACGGCTTACGAAGGAAGGAGCCTAGAAGGACCGTACACGCTCGAGGACGAACTCCAACCATGTTCTCTGGACGAAGGGGCTTGAGGGACAGAGGGGCGGTCCCTCTGTTTCCGGAAGTAGCGGATCCCAGGCATGGGGGTCCCCCCTCCCCCCGCCCCGGTCTCTCGACCCTGGGGAAACGTGCTGCTGGGAAAGGAAACACTGATCACACTCTGGGCCCCAACATACCAATTCGGCATCAAGGCGTTCTCCTTGCCGCGGAACATGATCCCCACGTTGGTGGCGTGGTGCCGGGAGGAGTAGAAGTCCGTGTAGTCACCTGCAGGGGAGACACGAGAGATCCCCACGGTGGCAGCTGCCCAGCCAGGGCGGGCCGGTCTCAGGGACGGGGCCCAGCCGGAGCCGGAGGAGGAGGCAAGCGTGCAGGCGTCTCGGCCATGCCCGGTCCCGGAAAGACGTGTTTATAAGACCGCCTTAACTAAAAGCCCTCGGCGCAATGCAAATGCAACACAATCAAGCCTCACTCACAATTTGTTTTGAGAACTCTCCTCTGAGAAAGAAACAAGGAACGAGCAGCCAAGACTGTCTGAAATAGACCGTGGACACCCCTTCCCTTCCCGGGGCTTCCCACCTCCGCACGCCCGACCCAGGGCTCTGCTCTGCACGCCTTTGCTTGAGCCGCACCTGCCACCTACACGGCTTCTCTCCCGCACTTGTCTGGGTCCAAATCCTGGCAACACTTTGAGGCCCTTCCCCCCACTCTCTCTGGCAGGACTGCTCCAGGAGGAAGAGGAGGAGGAGGGGAGGAGAGGAGGGTGGGGGGGAGGAGGGGGAGGAGGACACAGGTGCTACGGGCCTGGAGGTGGAGCGGGGGGCACACGGCCTTCACGGTCCCGATCCCGGAGGTAAGAGCTGAGGGATGCTTGGGAAGAAGAAATCCGTAACCAGGAACAGGAAAGGTCACACTCAGGGGCAGAGCCTTATAGGGCAGGAAATAACAAAATAAAGTGCGGATCACGGGGGGCGTCCGGCTGGCTTGGGGAGGGGGAGTACGACTCGTGATCTCAGGGCCATGAGTTCAAGCCCCACGTCGGGAGTAGAGATTACTTAAAGATAGATCTTTAATAAATAAATCAATAAAGTACTTATCCTAATGCCCGGCATACAGTGGGCCCCAAATAGAAGTGCCCCTTTGCCAGTGTGGGGGTCCCTGTGGCCCTGCTGTGGGTATTCCAACTCAACAGGCTCAAAGAAAGAATCTTTTTCACATAATAGTCCTTCAAAAAACCGTAAGATGGTGCCTTCTAAACCACGAAGAGTGGGGCAGGTGTGTATCCCTCCAGCACCCACTCCGGATGGAGGAACTCGGGGCCGCACGTTCGGCAGGGAGACCCCAGGGCCCTGGCAGGAGCCCACCGCACAGCCGGTCACAAAGGGTCACCTCAGAGTTCCCACCGCTTGTCCATCTTCAATACATGTGCATAAGTCTGCATCGTGGTCACTGGCAAGGGGCTGGGAAGGGTGGCGGGGGCGCGAGGTGCAGACAGGAAGCCCCCCACCCCCGGGGGCAGGTGCGCGGGTCCAGAAGCTCGCGCTGACAGGCGCGACAGTGTCCTGTACCCGATGCTACCGAATCGTACGCCAAAATCGTTCAGATGGTAAATGTTATGTTATGTGTAATTTACCACAATTTAAAGATGTGTTTATAAGACCGCCTTAACTAAAAGCTATTTTTCCTTAATAAAAAACATAGGTTACAAGAAACATAAGGGAAAGAGTAAGGGTGGTATTGGGGGACATGCCGGTTAGGAGGGACACGAAGGCTTATGCACAGTGTGATTCTCTCTCCATGAAGCTTCTAGAGGAGGTAAGACTAGAGCTGGATGGACGGTGGTCTCCTGGAGTGGGCGCAGGGGCCGAGGGGCTGGTGTTTCAGGACCAGGCCGGGGGGCCGGGCTGCACCAGTCCTCAGACGGCCCCAAACTCTCCAGACAGTGTCCTACAATGGGGGGGGTGTGCCCTGTGGGGAGGGGGCTTCTTAGGACACGCGCAGTTTGACTGGAGCTCTGTGCTCTGCACACGTCAGCTGCTTTAACCCTCAAACCCTAGGATGGAGTAAGTCCCGACTCGTGCCCTTGTCCCCCTGTCCTTTGGAAGGACATTCTCCACCAGGAAGGATGCAGGCCGCAGAACACAGCACAAGCCCCACCAGGGCCCCACAGCCCCGGATTCCGGAAGCCTCTGAGCGCAAGGTGTACCAGCACCCTGGGGCTGGGAGACAAGGGTGCAGGGCCTCCCTCTGCTTCAGCTAAGGGAGTTTGCACAACTGCAACTTGCTGGTTGAAACTTCCATCAGACTCACTGCCGAGGGTTCAGACGGGGGCTCTCTAGGACCCTCTTTCCTCACACCCCCGCCCCAGACTCACAGATGAGCTGGGAGCACGTCCTGCAGCCTCGCGGACAGAGCGACTTGCTGTGAAGGGCTCCAGTGCCGACTGCAAATCCCAGCAGCCGGCAACCCCCCAGCGAGGGCTCTGGCTTTCGGACTGGCCTGGGTCCGTGGAGCGCAGGGGCTAGAGCCCAGAACCCCGCCCTGCTGCCCCCACCCGCCAGGCGTCGTGGCCCACTGAGCTGCTCAGGTACAGGGACCGTACGTACCTATGGTGGCCGGCAGGTGCATCACAGCAGAAGCCTGGGCAGTGAACGCACTGCAACACAGAACCGGGGCTTCAAGGTCAAGCACGAAGCGGGGTCCCTGCTCTGGCCGCCCACTGCAGGCTCAGCCCCTGCTCACGGTCTCAGGCTGGCCCGCGGCCCGGCTGGGCTGCAGTGGGCCACCCTGGGGAGGGCCTGTACCCACAAGAGCCATGATGCCTCCTCCCTGCTCCTACTTTCCTCTCTAGAAAACGGGCCAAATTACTCCTTCTCTGGAAACCAGACACGGACACGAAGGTGCTGATGAGGAGTGGGCTGGACCCGGGGGGGACCCTCTAGTCGGGGCACACGGGTCTTCCCCGTTGGCCCAGAGCCCCACCACCAATATGCAGCAGAGGCAGGGGCTGGAGGAGACGGAGGCAGCCAAGCCGTGGCTCAGAATGGCCCTGACCACCGCACTGTCCCCTCGCCACCCGCCTACGTCCGCAGGCCCCTCACCGTCTCCGAAGCTCTGTGTCGTCTCGGAGCCTGGCATGGCTGGTGGACAGCAGGTTCTGCAAGAACGCTCTCGCCTCCTTCCAGGCAGCCTGGCCCAGGCCCATGAAGCTGTTGAGAGTGGGCTACACGGGGACAGAGAGGGCGGACGGCACATGCGAGAGGCCGTGGAGAGGCCGGCCACCTCCGGGCCCTCGCACTGCCAGGGCCTTCTCTCTGCCCCTGGAGCTGGGAAAGCGTCGCCCCCGCCCCCGGGTTTGCGCGCGGTCGGCAGAGGTTGGGAGCCACTGTGTGGGGTGCTGCCGGGGACACGGGGCCTGGGGTGCCGCTGGAGGGGGCTGCGTTCCTGCCACGGAAGCACACCCTCCATCTGTGGTGGCTCAGTCCCCACGCACCCCTCCAGCTAGGCTGTGAGGTTCTTAGCCGTGGTGGTGGGACAGGGGCAGCACTGTGGCCCAGGGGCTCTGATACTTGGAGGCACGTGACGCGGGGAATCGTGGCTCATTTCAGATGAAATCCCCACCATCTACTGAGGACCCAAGTCCTGCGCCAGATGGTCGTTGTGAGGACCGGACGGGAGACGTGTGTGGAACTCCCGGCACACAGGAGGTGCTCGATAAACACCGTCCTCCGTCCTGGCCCACGGAACGGGAAATGACATCACAGTGCCACGTCCATCCCACAGGGACACGGACTTCAGGCTGACTCCCAGCTGGTGGCATTTGTAACAAATCCTGTAGACACGCCATGTCACGGAGTCCTACCTGATCGAAGACATCCTGGTGTTTGGAGAGGACAGGCCCGGTGAAGAGGTGCTTAATGACGCTGAGGTCCAGGATCTGGTCGCCAATGGCCACGCCGATCCTCGGCCTTGGCTGCGAGGGAGACGGCATGGTCAGCACTGGGGAAGGCCTTAGCCAGCCTTGGTTCTTTACCCGAAAAATCTGTCTAGTGAAGAGCCCGTGGGTCCCCCCTTTAGATGGCCCTCTAAGGAGAGGGACTGAAGAACTGGATCCTTAGCACCTGACCCCAACTCCCTTTGTCTCCCTGTGGACTGAGATTGCCCCAGGGATCTCTGCCCCAGCAGAACCTGGGACCCTCTCTGCTTCTAGGACAAGAAAAGAATCTATATTCGCTGCATGGGAAATAAATCCAACATCCCTTGGAAAGGAGAAGGTGCAAGTGGCCTAGTCCAAGGCCCTTATGGAGGCAAAGTCCCCAGAGAAGTTCCTCAGGTACTGCTTGAATGCCTCTGGTGATGAGGAGCTCACCACCTCACCGAGCCACTGGATTATTTCCCAGAATTGACCTAGGCCTTCCCTCGGGGGAATTTCTTTGCATAGCAGAGCAGAGAGCACCCCAGGCACAGTGCTGAGGGCCAGGGGCTTGGATGAATGAGGCCTGCTCTGGCTCAAACAGGGCAGAGCTCAGGTCATGAGGGACCACGAAGCCACGCGGCTCAGAACGTGCAGGGGAGTTCCTTGCCACGACATAAAATCCCAGCATCAGCTCTGATTCTTGGCCTTCGCTCCAAGACCCTGAGCTTTGCTGGTCGGCGAAGAACCGGAGACCCGACCTCTGGGAGCCCTGCCCTGAGCCGAGCTCCCAGCTCTCCCGGGTGACCAGCTTTGCCATCTCGGCTCCAGAGAGCCTAGAGGTGGGATGACAGGCTGGCCTTCTCCCCGCTGGCTGCTCATTTCAGCAGGCTAAGAGGAGGTGGCCATCTCCCGGTGCACGTCGGGCTCAGGGACCAGGGCAGACCAGAGCCACACCCTCACCCGGCCCTGCCTGGGGGACCTGGCTACTCCTTCCCCGAGGCACTGCTGACTCCTTGGGCCTCAGTCTCCCCCTCCGGTAAATGGCAATGGACACAACTGATGAGCACCTGGACCCCAGTGGCCACCCCCACGGGGTGTGCAGGGCAGACCCTGGAACCATTTTCTGACCCTGGCCTCCAGGCCCATTGAAGGTAGGAAGGAACCAACGCCACGGAGCAACCTAGTGACGAGCTTGGGGCCAGCTTCCCCAGCTGTAAGCAAAGCCCAGAAGTTGCCCTTGTGCGCCCAGCTATGACCTGAGGACCCCAAAAAACAGGGGCTGTCTACTTTAAGGGCGCTTGGCTGGCTTCATCGGTAGAACGTGTGACTCTTGATCTCGGGGTTGTGAGTTCGAGTTCCACGTTGGGTGTGGAGATTGCTTAAAAATGAAATCTTTAAAAAAATAAAAAATAAAAACAATAAATTCGGGGAGCTGAATTTTTCAGTGCTAGATGGGAAGGGGCTCCTGGCTGGGATCCAGGGCCCCTGAGTCCCCACCCGTTCGTCACTCACCATCCTGTCCCTTGGGAGGCGTCCCTAGTCCTCTGAGGGCTCAGGGTCCCCTGCCTAATGTGAGGGAGACAAATTCAGAAGAGATACCCCACTGGTCTGACTGTAAGAGAATGCATGTGCATTGCCTCCGGGTCATATCTGATAGACAGCTGTCCAGAGGAAAGCTTTACCCCACTCCCAGCATGGGGTTTGGAAGCTCTCCCATGTGGGGTCCAGCCCCAGTTCTGTCCTGACTGGCTGTGAGACCTGTGGCGGGGTTCTTAGCCATTCTGAGCCTCAGTTTCCTCCTCCATGAAATGGGGACAGTAACTTAACAGCAGGTTTGCTGTGGGAGTTCAATTAGTATCTGTAAATCTCTTATCACGAGGCCAGACACAGGGCAGACATCCATTCAGACAAAAACAACTACGAAGCCTCTTCTCCACGCCAGCAGGACACGACGGCCGCTAAAGCACCAGGGACAGAGGAGGGATTGGTGTGGGCCATCCGGACGCAAAGGCAATGGGCACAGGGTGCGGCGACAGGCAGTGGGTGTGGCTGGGTGCAGCAGGGAGCTCGTTCAGTGAGGGTGCTTAAGGGATGTGTCTCTGAGTCCTGGAGAGTGAGAGGGAATTAGGCCTGCACAGAGTGGAAGGAAGAGTATTCCAGACAGATGAAACAATACGTGCTAAGGTCCTGAGGCGGAAAAAGGCTCTTAGAATGGTCCAGAAACTGAACAGCAGCCCGTGTGGTTGGAAAGAGCAGACGGCAGCAGGCAGAGGCAGGGCCAGACTACAGGGACTCTAACAACTTGGCCATCGGCTGCAGACCACCACGGGCGGCACCCCCATCGCCAAGGCCATCATCCCCGTCTTCACAGACAAAGCTTCCTGCGTTCTGCCAATCCATGAGCACCCCAAGATGGGGGGAGGGTGTCTCGTGTGTCTTCGATCCCCGACCCCCCTCCCAGAGTATGGCCCAGAGTTGGGGTTCTTAGGCATTCCCTGAATAAAAGAATGAAGGAAGTAATGACGGGATTGATTCACTAGTGTTCCACCCAAATTATGAAGAGCTGGCTGCTGGTGTGCAGGGGAGAGAGGCAGTGGTGACCCTGCCGTGTCCACTGAGGGCAGGACAGCTTAAGATGAGGCCTGTTCCCACACCCACGCCCCGAGCCTTCCGGAAAGCCCGAGGGGCTGTGTGCTTTTCAGAGAGCCCCTGGAAGGGGCTCTGTGTCCAGGCCTCCCCAGTGGCTGTCCCTGCACCAGCAACAGGGGCCTGGGGTCCAAAGGCCACCAGCCACCCTCCAAGGGGCACTCATTCCAGAGTCCTGGACTCACCAGCCTTGGGGCTTGGGCAGAGTGTTGTTGGCTAACACAGGTCAAAGGTTAACCTGCCTCATTGTATTCCTGTCCCTCTAGGGGACTGCGAGTTAACTTTCTGTGTCCTCCGCAATGTTTGCCCAGGCCTGGCCATTGTGAAACCACACATTGGCTCTTGTAGACCGAGGCATTTGCGGCAGGCAGGCCCACAGAAGTCCAGCCACTTGGGGGTCAAAGATCCGCCATGGAGGAAGGGGCAGACTATACTTACTAAGTGAAAGCTCCTTTTTCTGTCCAAAGGGCTTCTTCCAATGAGCAAGGGAATGCCTGGGAGCCCACCCCACGAGCTCAAAGAATTCTAGCTGGAGGCAGATTAACTTGACATCTCCGAGCCCACAGCTCAAGGCCAGCAAACGTGCTCATCCCTCTAAGCTACTAAAAATGTTGAGGTCCTCAGCATTCCCCCGGTCCTAGTGTTAAGGTCTAACCTGCGAGATGAACAAGCAGCCATAACATAGTGTCTTGGGGGCAGGAAACCCCAGTGACTTGAGGAAGCAGTAGGACCAGGCGCTTCAACTGCTCAGCACCAATAATCGGACTTTGGGGCGCCTGGGTGGCCCAGTCAATTAAGCGTCTGCCTTCGGCTCAGGTCATGATCCCAGGGTCCCGGGATCGAGCCCCGCATCGGGCTCCCTGCTCAGCCAGGAACCTGCTTCTCCCTCTCCCTCTGCCCCTCCCCCAGCTCCTGCTTGAGCGAGCGCTCGAGCGAGCGCTCTCTCTCTTTCTCTCTCTCACAAGCGCGCGCAAAAAAAAAAAAAAAAAAAAATTAAAATCTTAAAAAAAACAACTCAGTAATCGGACTTGCTCTGCTTGCCTGGGAGAGACACCTGCAGGTTCTGTTTCATCCCACACGAACCCGCCCAAACTGAGGCCCAGAGGCTCAATTACGTGCACATCTAGAAAGTTACCAGGCGGGATTCGGACCCACATACACTGGGCACCACAGGCTCCTCAACAGACAGCCCCAGAGCCTCCAACCGCCCCCATCTCACTCCCCCTGCCCCCAGTGACCTGGGGGGAGGGGTTGCCTCCGCGGGGCGCGTCGGGCAGGGGAAACACGGCCCCCCAGTGACCCCGGGGGCCTCCACGTGGCGCGTCGGGCAGGGGAACCACAGGCCGGCGTCCTGCCTGGTGGGTACTGGCCACCGGTGTCGGGGATTGGGGCGGGGGTCCCAGTGGAGGGGGCACCCTCCCGTCCCCGCCCGGAGGCCGAGCGCAGCAGCTCACGTTGGCTGGGGTGGAAAAGACGCCGTAGGGCAGGTTGTGGATGGGGAAGTCAGAATCCTCGGCCACCGCGACGAAGGACATGCTGGCCAGTAAGGAGCAGGGCCGCGGGCTGCACTCGGCTGGGTCAGGCCGGATCGCACTCCAGCTAGTTCAGCTCCCGACCCCAAGGCCCCGCCCCCGAGGCTCCACCCCCAGGGCTCCGCCCCCACGACCCCGCAGTTCCACCCCGGCCCCGCCCCCGTGGCTCCACCCCCTGGCTCCACCCCTGGCTCCACAGCTCCACCCCGGCCCCGCCCCCGTCGCACCAAGGCTCCACCCCCTGGCTCCTCCCCCGCGGCTCCACGGCTCCGTCCCTGGCTCCACGGCCCCACAGCTCCACCCCGGCCCCGCCCCCGTGGCTCCACCCCCGGCTCCACAGCTCCACCCCGGCCCCGCCCCCGCGGCACCAAGGTTCCGCCCCCCGCAGCTCCACGCTCCACCCCCCGCGGCCCCGCGGCCCCGCTCCTGCCCCAAGCTCGCAGGGACCCGCAGCGCCCCTCTGCGGAACGCTCCCCGGACCTCGCCGCCCCGCACAGGCTTCCCGCCCGCAGAGCCCTGGCCCCCTGAGACAGGGCTCCAGCTGCCCACCACTCCAGCTACCCGGCCCTGGGCCCACCCCTAGCAGCCCCCACCTGGCACTGGAGGCTCCGCCCTGGGTGACCGCAGCCCTGTGCACCCCTCCCACCCCCTGGGCTCCGCGAAGTCCCGAGGGCTGCCGGGACGCCGTGGACGCGACCCCCCTGGCTCAGAGAGTCCTGCCAGCAGGAGTCCTGCTGACCCGCCAGCTGCGACACTCCCACTCTGGGCCACAGGGACAGGCGTGCCTTTGAAAGGCTGAAATTAATGGGAATTGGGTATAAAAAGTATAGCTCACCTGCTATTTCACATTCTGATGTTAAAATGATGCTGACAAGCTGTTTGACCTCGGACAAGCCACTTAAGCTCCTTCTGCTGCCCAGGCTTTGTCCTCTGTGGGACACAGTGTGGATGACCATCGCTTCTGCTCCATCCAGGGGATCTAAGAAGTGAATTAACTGTGGGCGCTTGTGCAGACAGGGACACAGGTGCTTGTGTTAGAGAAAGGACGGGAGAGAGGGACACAAAGGACAGCAGATTCACATCCCCATCCTCTGTCCAGGGCAGGTGGTCATAGCTAAATGGATGGAGATTGCAGGTCTGCCTCTGACATGAATGAAGTGCTTAGCCCTGAGCAAGTTAAACTCTGCCCTCATGAGTTTGCTCATCTGCAAAATAGAGGGCAAGAATCATGCCTACTCTGGGTCTGGGACCTGCATGATGGCCGAATAATGCCTGGCACAGAGTTCATCAGTTAAGTATTTTTCCCTCCAGGGACATCCAACCAGAATGTTAGCCATTCCTTTGTTTCTGAGTTTTGCTTTTCATTATGAAGAAGACAATCAGAAAAGGAGAGAACACTACTATAAAAGCAAAGTGGTCATCACTGATTGAAAATAAGTTTATAGTAAAAAAAATAAAATAATAAAATAAGTTTATAGTATAAATGCAAATTCCTTAGAAATCTAATGAAATTATTCTTTTAAAAAGAGTTAAAATTTTTGGGCACCTGGGTGGCTCAGTGGGTTAAGCGTCTGCCTTCGGCTCAGGTCATGATCCCGGGGTCCTGGGATTGAGCCCCAGATCGGGCTCCCTGCTCGGCGGGAAGCCTGCTTCTCCCTCTCCCACTCCCCCTGCTTGCGTTCCCTCTCTCGTTGTGTGTCTCTCTGTCAAATAAATAAATACTTCAAAAAAAAAGTTAAAAATTTTTAAAAGTTAAATTATAAAAGTATAGGCTGCACAATACTTATCAATATACAAAGTAGTATTTAAAACACTGGCTTTTGATTGATTTGCTTTGGAATTTTTACATTAGTCAAAAGCTAATGAATTAATACAAAAAAATAAAAAGATGCATGCACCCCTGCATTCACTGCAGCATTATTTATGATAGCCAAGATATGCAACCAAGCCAAGTGTCCATCCACAGACGAATGGATAAAGATGTGGTATACAAACACACACACACACACACACAGGAATATTCCTCAGCCATAAAAAATGAGATTCTGCCATTTACGAGCACGTGCATAAACCTAGAGGGTATTATGCTAAGTGAAATAAGTCAGACAGAGACAAATACTATATGAGTTCACTCATATGGAATCTAAAAAAACAAAACAAAACAGGACCAGACTCATAAACACAGAGAACAAACAGGTCGTTGCCAGAGGAGGGTGGGTTAGGGAGGCAGAGGACATAGGTGAAGGGGATGAAGAGGTACAAACTTCCAGTTATAAAGTAAAAATGTCACAGGGATGAAAGTACAGCACAGGGAATATGGTCAATAAGTCTGTAATCACTTTGTATGGTGACAGATGGTGATTGCCCTTACGTTGGTGAGCATTTGAGAATGTATATAGTTAGTCCAATCGCTATGTTGAACATCTGAAACTAATATGTCAACTGTACTTCAATTAGAATTTTTTTTTAAAAATTAAGTTTGAAGGTCTAATGCACAGCATGGTGGTTATAGTTAATAATACTGAATCGCATGCTTGAATGTTGCTAAAAGAGTAGATCTTAAATGTTCTCACCATAAAAAAGACCTGGTAGCTATGTGATGGGATGGAGGTGGTAGCTAATACCATGGTGGTAATCATTTTGCAATTTATAAATGTATCAGTCAACACATCCAACACCTTGAAGTGACACAGTGTTATGTTAACTGAAGAGGAGGGAGGGCCCAACGCCAGAAGGCCCAGATGTGACTGGCGCTGACCAGCCATCACCCTGTGAAGGGCTCCCTCTGGTCCGGGGCGGACCGCAGTTTTGGTTCAGTCTGATCTGCCTCTGATCTGGCAGAGGGAGGGGATCTGACTTGTTCCAGGAGATTCCAGAAGGGGGCGAAGAAGGAGAGTGTTCCAGCTGGGTTGAGGCCTGACCAGAGGCGCTCTGGGGGCGCTGGGCTGTGGGGCCAGGGGCTGTTTGCATGCTCTGTCCTGGCCCTGCCCCTCCTCCTACAGGCACGAACGGTCTTCTTCTGTGCGCGGCGTGGTGGACACCCAGCCGGACACCTGGCACAGAGTGGGTGCTCTGTAAATATGTAAGCAAGCATGCACTATAGAAGGGTTGACGAAAGGCAGTTAACCCAGGACCAGCGAGCCGCACCCATGCCGGGCCTGGAGGGAGCTCCAGGGCCTTCTCTCCGGAGCCGTCGTGGGCGAGGCACGGCCACCGCACACACGTGGGCTAACGAAGGCCTGGATGATAGAGAAAACCAAACACCTTTTGGGGGGAAGGGCGTGGGGCAGATGTGCGTGGGGGAAGGGGTGTGGGCCTGAGAGAGCTGAAGTGGGAGGAAGACTTCGTAGTTTTAAAATAGACTCGCCAACCCACTAATTACATATCGGGCCTGAAAACGCCAAAGCTGTTCTCCATTTGGAAAAAACCCTGCGAAGTAACTCTGCAAACACGCTCTATTTTCTTCTTTCTCCCTTTTGGGGAGGGGGATGTGTTGAGCATGTACATGACGACCATTATAAAAAAGAATTTCAAGGAAAAGCGATGGCCTGCAACCCGCCATCCTGCAGCCTTCACCCGCTCTTGTTACCCATTCCAACTGCATGTGCATGATTTTTCCGTCTTCGTGAACTTTAAATAGAGGCAACTTTTCAGTCTTTCCCTGTATTTTTCTCCTGAACGTTTCCCCATGTGGCCAAATCGGTTTCGTTATTACCAGTTTCGGCGGCTGAAGAAGTGGCCGTGCTTGCTTGGGGACTGTCACCGGAACAGAGCGGTGAGGACGTGTGCGCGCACGATGTTCTCCAGCCCGTCTGTCGGAGGGTGAGTCCCTGGGCGGACGGGGGTGGACGCTCTCAGGACCGGAGGTGAGCTTCAGCACCTCCCCGGCTACGGGCTGGTTTGAGCCCGGGTGGCACCACATTTGGTGCCTCCCTCGGATGCTGCAGCGTAGCAGAGGCTCCGGCCCTGGGGGCCTCTGCACACAGGCGTGCCCCTCACTCCTTGGCGAGAGAAGTGGGAAGGGGCTTTCTGAAGGGCCCCCACACCAGCAGCAGGGGGACGCTCCTGTGAGAGAACAGAGTGTCCTCGGGTTTGCGGAGGATACATACTTCTCCCTGCACGAGCCGTAAGGAGCGAAGGCGTGTGTTCCGTCCAGGGCTGGGCCGTGATCGCAGCCCCCCCCCCCCCCACTTTTCCTGCCCAGCCCGCGCAGAGCCCAGTGAACCCGCCCAGCCAGCGCCGGGGGTCTTGCTGCGGAGTCCCTCCTTGCTGTCCTTCAGGCTGCTCTGTTTCGGGCACTGCTGCGTGCCTGTTGGGATGGAATGCCCCCCGCCAGCCATGTCGGGGCGAAGCTGGATCTGGAAGAGCCGCAGACGGCCCGCGGCGTGGTCGATGGAGGGACTATGACAAGCGGCCTGGCAAGGAGACGTGGAGCGGGCGGTGAGTCTGCTTCCCCTGTTCCTCCTGCAACAAGGAATCTGAATTCGGGTGCTCCCTCCCTGCGATTTCAGCAAGGCCCTCATCACTTGGTTTCGCTCCCTCGCGTGAACACGTATTGAAGAGTTTTCCCCTTCCAAACGCTTCTTTTCCCCATGTGCGTTTTCCGGGGCCTTTTTGCGTGACAGTTGCGGGTCCCCCTCCGGGCCCAGAAATGCAGAGGAATTTCGACACTTAGCAGGCACTCCGTATCCTGCCCGTTTGGTGTGGAGGTGATGCTCAGTGCCTCTCTCCCCGAATGTGGCTTTCCTCTGTCAACAGGAACCGCTCCCCAAAATACATCTCCCCTCAACACCTCTGCTCCCTTCTAAGATTCCCCAGGAATGAAGCATCAAGGTGAGGACTGTTTCTCCCCTTAGGTTTCTGGACCACAGGCTCTACTCCCAGTCTGCCATCAGCTTCCCCTGCCTCTAATCCCGAGCACCCCACCCCACGCATCCCTCTGTGCTGGACAGACCCGGGGCGTCTGGAAACTTCATGACTACCATGTCTGGGCTCCCTTTCGAGGGATGTGGCCTGCATCCATGCCCTCCTCCATCCGTTCCTGGGGCTCCCGCTTGTGTGCTCACGGAAACCAGGGCAGGCGCCCTGGACGCCA